GCTGGATCTGACCAAAGGTCCAGTTTTTATTTCAGCACTCTGTTTCTTTCCAACAGAAGCTGGACAGATGCTTCTGAAAAACTTCCAAACAGGGTATGAAGATGGCTATTTTATGTGGCTTTCCTACCGTATCTGGTACTCACTGATCAAGAAGATTCTATTAGCTACCTGTTGATAGATCTACCCTTCATGAATCTGTTAAAAGAACATGAGAAAAATACTTATTTGATCATATATTCAGCCTGTCCTAGAGGTTTGGGTTATTAACAAAAAATTAATTAAAATATCTAGCAAATGTAAGAATCTTCCCTTCCAGACACATGACAATAGCTGGCTGGGAAATGAGTGAGAGATGTTTTCTTCATCAGATAGATAAGTACTGTTGGGCGTCACGACCCAAATAAGATATCATATTATTTTAAACAAAATAATACTTTGATATTTTCTTTTATAAATTAATGTTCATGTTCAGCTGTGCATCTGAATGCAAGAAAAATAGCACTGTATAAATAGTATGTTCTCTTGATGTGTGAAATATGTCCATTTTTGTACACTTATGGGAACTCATTGCCACTCACAGCTTCTTCTTCAAGTCTTTAATAGACACTTGGCATAATCTTCACACATGGATTGGTCTACACTTATGCTGGGAAAATGTTAACTGGTCAAGTATATACTTAGCTTCACACTGCACTGTAGCCAATGGTGACTTTCTGGTGAAATTATATGATACAACTTTTGAAACACAAGTTTGTCATTTTCGTACATTACATTTTCAGGGGGTAAACTAATGAGGAACTGAACATCGTTTCATGCTTGTAGAATACTAAGCTATTTGATGTATTTTGCGAGGTTTCTCTGGGGAACCCTCTTAGGTATCAGATAGCAAGTCCCTTTTGATCTCTATACTTTGTAAATTTAGAAAGTATTTTACTTCTTTCAGATTTGTTTTGAAATTCCTTTGTAAAATACAAGTATAAAGCACAACCCCTCTTAATTACGGTTGCCAGGTCTTACCTTTCCCATGGTGGGGGGCTCCCGGCTTCTCCTCAGGATGTTTCTGCCATGGTGTGATGATGTCAATGGAAGTGACATCATCATACTGGGGCCGTCGCACAGCGATGCTCTAGCATTCGGGCAAAATCTCTGTGGTAACCATGGAATCCCCCCCCCCAATGCTAGAGCATCGCCATGCAGCAGCCCTGGTGTGATGACTACTGGTGATGTCATTGTATCAGCAGTGTATCACTACCGGTGATGTCATTGTATCAGCAGTGTCCCTGCGGGGGATCCCTTGCCCTGACTGGGAGGATGGCAACCCTAATCTCAGTTTACTTGCAATTATTTTGAGTGTCGAATGCAACCCTAATCTCAGTTTACTTGCAATTATTCTTTTGAGTGTCGAATGTTTTTCTCCTCTGTAGCATATTTTGAGTCCCCTGAGCATGTATTCACGTTGGGGTAGGATTGGTGACAGGCCCTTCAATGGCATTCTATGGACCACTCACTGGCCTATGAACCAGCAACACTTCTACAACCCTGTACTGTTTTGGGGTGAGAGACTCAGCATGCCTGGACACTGGGAGGTGCTACATAATTCTAAGTGTGTATAAGTGTTATCTCCTTGAATGGAATGCCTCTCTCTTTGCCCTCTCTGACCCCTCCGCCCTCTTTATGCCATTTGCTCTCCCCATTCTCTGCATAGCTCTGCATGGAGTCACACCTCTCTACAGGACTCTCCTGTAGAAACAATGCTCATAGTTCCATACACAGGATGCTAGATTTAGGGCGCGATCACGCACACAATTAACCCCGCCATAGGCGCGAATGCCAGGCGGATTTAAAGAGTGCGCTCAGACACGAACATCTGAGAAGTCCCCCACACCTGTCAGCAACCCGTTTTGCTCCACCACAGAAGCGGAGTAAAAAGACACTGGGGAAAATCCAGTAGTAAACAGGTTGTGACATGCCGCGGACGGAGTTTCCCATGTCTGATCACTCCAGCGCGCTCTCATGGCGTCGGGATGGTCTGATCAGGCCATCCCAACCCCGTGCCGTTGTCCCGCCCCCCCAGTATGCACATCATCACAAACTCCATAGGGAGACCTCAGTGCAGAGATGCAATCCATTGATTCCTCGTGTAAATGCATCAGAAACAAACAGCAAAAAACAAATCCCAACTCACCCGCGGTTGCATTTGATCACAGAGTGGCGGCCTGTTCCCGCAGCTTCCAAGGACCATGTGATCGCACAACTGTGGGTCAAATTCCTCCGGAGGAAATAGCCTCGCTTCCCCCCTGCTTTATCTCGCGCGTGTGACCACCCCCTTAGTTGGCCACTTGTGATAGGGAAAGTACTCTTTTGATTAGGCCTCTTTCTCTCCTTTTGACTGCTACCTGAATGTGTGCTGAATCTACTTGAATCAATGTGAGTTTTACTTTTTGCAGTATACTTCTTGAGAGATTTTATTTACTGCAGTCAGTATCATGCTTCTATGACTGGGCAAACTCTGCTATATTAACCAAATATACCAATATACTGTTTGCATCTTAAGTAAGTTAGATTAATGTATTGGTTCTGCTTGCCATGAAAAGGATACTATTTTAGTGATCTGCAGCAGAGATTATTGTTGGTGTTGCATCTAATAAAGTTGATCAGTAAGATCAACCTATCTTACTGAATGATAGTTCAATGGGAATGATGGTGTCCCAGCCGCCTAACTTAAGACTGAAGATGATTCCACATAATACTGTATCTAAAATGGGTGGAGACCTACATTTGTAGGGCTTTAATCTAAAATCCTTTATCATACAGGCTAACTAGAAAAATAGGGGTTGGCTTCTACCAGTTGACATTCTGACATGTGTGATAACCTAAGAAACATAACCTGTGTGATTGTTAGAGATCAGTTCTCATTGGATCCAGGAATGGCAGTATGGTTGAAGGAAACCATGGGGGGGAAGCATGATTCTTCCACATCAAATGTTCTGCCTTGAGCAACGATATTTGGATCCCACAGAAGTACCAACTGTGGATTTATTGTATAAGGGAAATCACTTAGAAAGTCCCTTTTGGGTTTGCACCTTTACAGAATCTAGTCATCAAAAGGGCAGGAGATACTAGATGGTGGACAGATGGATGATTAATTAGAAGGATAATGCTGGTGATCTAAGCAGACATAAGAAACATTCAGAAATTTTCCAGCACTCATACAACTGTGTTGTATCACTGAGAACACAATGTTTTTTCAGTCTGCAAGGGCATCAGTTTGAGAGGTAAGTACGAGGTTGGTTGTGAAATGTGCTTGCATGAGTGCCATATTGTTCTAGATGGTATCTATGATATCACTAGTAGTTAGCAATACTACTCCTGTGTCATTTTTGAATTTTAAAAAAGTTTGCATTTAATATATTTTTATTTTACACTTTCCCCCAAAGGTTTTTAAAGGCTCAGTGCTTCTGTGCTGCACTGCTGAAATTTAGGACTGTTTATGCAAATTACTGGAAAGAAATTCTCACAACTTTTTAATGTGGACCCTGATACTGAATAAATGGTGCCTAATTCCATTGAAAATCACTGATGAAGATAAGAAGTTACCTTCTTCTGAATCAGCTAGATGTGACAGTGCCCATAGGCCTGATTTGTAGATGCTGCTGCCATTTTAAAGGGATCAGGCCCATAGTGCAGCAAGCTGAGGGGCACTTGTTCCCTTTCAGGCCTTTCCCTGCAGCTGTTTTGGCACTTGAAAAAGCACAGGGGAGAGGGAGAGACAAGAGCAACTCAGCCCACTGTGGGCCAAGCAGGACTGGACCCTTGTGTCATTTTAAAATCCCTTTAAAATTCAGGGATTGCACTTGCTGCATGCAAAATATATTTTCTACCAATAACCTACATTATCTGTTAATTTCATGTAGTGAATTCCTTTGAACATTTGGATACTGCTGTATACATGCTAATAATTATGCACCATACCAATCATGCCACCTTGTTCAAATGTCATACCTTGTTCAAATATAATGTTGTCACTTTGGTCCAATATAATATCTTGTTCAAATATAATGTTGTAACTGACAACTTCCTTTTTTGCAGATAGTTTCAGAGGGTAGCAGTGTTGGTGTGCAGTAGAGGGACTAGATTCGAGATTCTAGATTTTCAGGCTATAAACTTCTGAGAGTCAAAGGTCCCTTACTCAAATACAGAATTCATTTTCCAGAATTTTCCAGAAAGGCTTGAGCTCTCAGATGGGCACTGCCTCTAAGGGCTTGGAGGAACAACAATGTAAACTCCAATGGACCTGGAAGGCAATGTGGGAAGCAAAATGTTGTAATAGTTTTAAAAACACAGTCTGTAGATCCTAAGTCTGACATTCCCCTTCATATCATTATCCCTGGTTACAGTATACAAAGCTACACAAGTAACTGTTTACATAACATGCAGAGGGCATGATCTAGTCTGCTTCAATTTCAGGTGAGCAAGTACATCCCAGGAACTGGGCCTCAAGAGAGATAACTAGCATCAGCACTGATGAAATGGTCTTCTGGGCCAGTATTTGCTTTTCTCACTGGGAGTGGAGAGAGAAATGATTGCAAATACATGGAAAAGCACATATCCCAGAACACTGTGCTCAGAAGAGCAGGCAGGGGGAAGGGGACAGCTAATGTGTAACTTAGGTTAGGCAATCGGAGGGATAAAAGAGGAAGCCAAACTGTCAGCTGGAATCAGACGCCGAGTGCACCAAAGAGCTTGAGAGTCTCTTCCTGAGAAAGTAAATCTAAGAGAGGTATGTGCTAATTTTCTACCCTTAAAATTGTTGAGGGCAAATGATCCAAATCGGAGAATATATGTATAGTTTCTTATTTTGTCCTCAATGGAATCAAAGAGAAGATTCCAAGTTCTTCATTTTCACTATTTGTGGCTTGCATCACATGTAATGGCAATAACTCATAAAACATCCACTCTTTTTCTTTCTTAAGCAGGCATTGTTGAAACTGCAGGCAAGCATGAACCCAGGAGTGAGTTTGCTGTGCATCCTTTTGTGCATGATCCCTGTCGGCTGTGATCGGGTCTATGTTCACCCTTTCCATCTCTTTGCATACAGCCATGAGAGCTGCAAGGGACTGGAAGAAAAGGAACGGCTGGTGAAAACTTTTGTTCCTATCTCAATTGAATCTCCCATCACCCCGGTGTATGAAGAGAGTGTCAGGAACAAGAGTGAGGAGGGACCACAGATTTCAGGAGTGGACTATTTAAAAGACTTAACCTACGTGCTCGGGGCACGTATCTACAGAGAGCTGGTGGAAATGCACAAGGGAGAAAATATTCTTCTGTCTCCCACAAGCATATATCAATCCCTTCTAATCTTCTACCTAGGGGCTTCTGGACGCACAGCAAGTGAATTGCAGGGTTTGTTAGGATTTGCTCCTCCATCCATTAGCCAAGACTGCACCTCCAAAATAGATGGGCACAAAATCCTTCCTGTCCTGAGGACCATCAGCAGTCCCAAGGAGGCCGATGAGCTGCTCTTCTCCAAGCTCTTCTGCCTTTTTTCAGCCCCAAACGTCCATTTATCTGAATCCTTTGTCCATGAATTGACCTTTGCTGACATTAATTTCTATGTACGAGCTGTTGACTTTACAAACCCCACTCGGGCAGGAGAACAAATCGATGCTTTTGTCAAAAGCAAAAATACCCACACAAGCAAGTCTTTGCTGACAGACGTCGATCCGGCAAGCAACTTGTTGTTTGCAACCTATACTCAGTTCAAAGGTAAGAGAGGAAATCCTTGTCGCTTAATACAAATGGCAGTCCCCGGGGCAGGCAAAAAATCATCAGATGTCTGTCTAGTTCAGCATCCTGTCCTAAGAGGAGCCAGAAGCTTCTAGGAAGCTCAAAAGCATAGCAAAATAGGAAAACCCATCCTGCCACTGTTTGTGCCCAGTGTCTCAAACCTAGAGGTGCACTGCCTTTAAAGATAGGAGTTCCATTCCTAGCTACATATGCACAAAATATTGATAGAGCTATTCTCTGTACATTGATTGAAACTTTTTTTAAAAGGTCCTTTTATGCTAGTGGCCATGCCAATATCCTGTTCAGTGGTGACACCATTCAGTGGTGTGCGAAAAGACAGGTAAGGACTACCTTCTTCAGTGTTTCAAGAGGAGTGTTGGGTGGCACAGGGTGCACGAAAAATTGCTTTAACAGTTCAGGCCATGTCTTATCTCTCAATCAGAGAATATTGCTAAATCTGCAGAAGGAAAGTTGTAAGAGATCACTGAGATGCGAATCCTAACAAGATGTTTGAAATTGTACCTTCTTCTTGTAGCGCGTTATTATATTGTTCATCGTAGAATAATGATATCATTCTCAATGTCACTCAAGTGACTTTATTAGAGGTGAAATAAAGCAAGCTCATAGAATGTAGCAAATCCACACGGGAAATCTTCTGAGAAATGACAGTTACAAAGACAGCTTCAAGATTTCCTGTGTTTTTAAAAGGAAGAGAAAAGGGGCATGGGAACAAAGAAAAGGGTAGGAGGGTGAAGGAAAAGAATTAGAGGGATAAGAGGGCATTTCCAGAGAGAAGTGAGCCAGCCCCATTTCCCCTACAAATAGAGCTTCGCATTTCAGTTTCCCTGAAGGGCGTCTTCCTCCAAAAGAAAGGAGAGTCCTAATTCCTGAAGCTGTGGTGGCTCAAGTGGTTAAGACGCTGAACTGCAGGCTGTGGAAGGTCGATAGTTCAGGAGTTCGAGACCCGAGTGTGCCGCATGACGGAGTGAGCTCCCGTCTCTAGTTCCAGCTCCTGCCAACCTAGCAGTTCGAAAGCAAGAAATTGCAAGTAGATAAATAGGTACAATGTCAGTGGGAAGGTAACAGTGTTCCGTGCGCCTTGGTGTTTAGTCATGCTGGCCGCATGACCACGGAAACATCTTCGGACAGCGCTGGCTCTTCGGCTTTGAAACGGAGATGAGCACCGCAACCCTAGAGTCGGATTCGACTGGCTTTTGAGCAAGGGAACCTTTACCTTTAATCCCTGAAGAGCAGCCACCATTTTGTTTCCAGCACAACTAATGTCTACCAGAAAATTGTCCTCCCCTTCCTCTTCTGTCAGAGGCGCTTTCACTGGCACAAGAAGTTCTGTTGGCACAAGAGTGGTACCTGCCCAGATCCCACTGTTCAGTGCAACCCACAAAGCTCATTGGCCAGGTGGGTCCCACAGTATCAGTATTTTGGATGTCTCAGGAGTTTTCTGGGGAAAGGTAAGGGCAGGCATGAACTGCATCTATGAGCACTATTGCATTCATGCTTCATAGGATCCAAGTATATCTTCTGACTTCTACATTTAATTCCTAGCAGCAACATTCTGAAAAAAGTTTTCTTCTTTTAAGAGACTTCCAGAAAGCTTTTGATAAAGTTCCTCATCAAAGGCTCCTAAGTAAGCTCAAAAATCTAATTAATAGAAAACAGAAAGTGAGTATAAATGGGCAATTTTGTCAGTGGAAGGTGGTAAGCAGTGGGGTATCTCAGGGATCAGTACTTGGTCCACTGCTTTTTAACTTGTTCATTAATGATTTGAAGTTGGGAGTAAGCAGTGAAGTGTCTAAATTTGCGGATGATACAAAGTTGTTCAGGGTGGTGAGAACCAGTGAAGATTGTGAGGCACTCCAAAGGGATCTGTCAAGGATGGGCAAGTGGGCGTCAATATGGCAAATGGGGTTCAATGTGGCCAAGTGCAAGGTGATGCACATTGGAGCCAAAAATCCTAAATATAAATACACGTTGGTGGGGTCTGAACTGGCAGAGACTAATCAAGAGAGAGACCTTGGAGTCGTAGTAGATAACTCACTGAAAATGTCGAGACAGTGTGTGACTGCAATAAAGAAGGCCAATGCTATGCTGGGGATTATTAGGAAGGGTATTGAAAATAGATCAGCCAATATCATAATGCCCCTATATAAATCAATGGTGCGACCTCATTTGGAATACTGTGTGCAGTTCTGGTCACCACACCTTAAAAAGGATATTATAGCTTTGGAAAAAGTGCAGAAAAGGGCAACTCGAATGATAAAAGGGTTGGAACACTTTCCCTATGAGGAAAGGTTAAAGCGCTTAGGGCTCTTTAGCTTGGAGAAAAGACGACTGAGGGGTGACATGATCGAGGTTTATAAGATTATGCATGGGAAAGAGCAGGTAGAGAAAGAGGTACTTTTCTCCCTTTCTCACAATACAAGAGCTCGTGGGCACTCAGTGAAGTTGTTGAGCGGTCGGGTTAGAACAGATAAAAAGGAAGTACTTCTTCACCCAAAGAATGATTAACACATGGAATTCACTGCCACAGGAAGTGGTGACGGCTACAAGCATGGACGGCTTCAAAAGGGAATTAGATAAGCATATGGAGCAGAGGTCCATCAGTGGCTATTAGCCATGAGGTATAGATAGGGGCTCTGGGGCAAGTGATGCTCTGTCTTCTTGGTGCTTGGGGGGGGGATCAACAGTGGGAGGGCTTCTAATGTCCTGGCCCCACTGGTGGACCTCCTGATGGCACCTGGTATTTTTGGCCACTGTGTGACACAGAGTGTTGGACTGGATGGGCCTTTGGCCTGATCCAACATTGGCGTCTCTTATGTTCTTATGAGAGCTTAATAAGCCTTACAAATTCTGTTCTCCCTTTTGTATGTACAGAGAACTTTGAAAAAATTGGTAGAATGAGACATGTTCCCATCCTATCTTATAACCAACATATGAAATTACAGTGTTATTAAAGATTTTAATAGTGATGTGATGTAGCATATGTTTCCCCCATAAATAAGTGATTCTTAAGAATTCTACCGCAAGTAATGAAGATTAGGTAGCAGAAGAATGTTGTTTCCAGACAGTCAAAGCATGAATACAACATATCTTTTGCAGGATACTTTAATCTAAATTTAAATTTATAAACTATTGTGGTGGAAGGAAGAATTGCCGTACTATTGCTTATCCCTTTAAGCTAAATGGCATGGTTAGAAGTGTGCTGAATCCAGTTGAAAGGACAGGAGGATACCCAATTTTCAAAATCCCTAGAGAACAAAGAACACAAGCTACTCCAGGGACTTCCTAGAAGGGGCTAATCACAAGAGATAGGTGCCATTAATGGGAAAGATGTCTGGAGAAAATTCTTGCTATAATCTTTTCCATGGTATGCTTTGAGAACCACACCCAATCCTGTAAACAAAGAGTCAGATTGAAACTATGACATTGGACGGAAAGGCACTCCTCTAGCTGCAGACATAAAGACATCTTGCATAAGTAGAATATGGATTCAACCTTTGGATTCCACTCCTGTTTCCCTACCTCTTTTTTCCTTTCCTTAACACCAAATTCCATTGCACAAATTTGTTGTTGGGAAGCTCATTAGTGAGCCAGACAAATGGGCTCAATCTGTCTTCTCTTTTGTTTCCAGCCATTGTGAAGGGAGCCTCACTTCTGAATGACCCTCAGGAATTCTGGACCAATTCAGAAACAAAGATCTCAGTGCCTATGATGAGAGTCACTGGAAACTTTGAGCATAAATTTGATAACAACCTGAATCTTTCAGTCATCAAAACTGCTGTCAGTGAGAGTGTATTTCTGCTGCTATTGCAGCCCATCAACAATGAAGACTTGACTGGTGCAGAGACGCAGTATTCCATACAGCCTTCTTATCTGTGGCTGCAAAAATTATCACCGAGGTATGTTTTTTTATAGGAAACATAGAGGTTTATTGGAATGTAAGAATTACTTTTGTGGGGTAGTGACCATCTTGGGGAGTGCCTTCTCCTTTCACTTGGGTCAGTTGCTGAACAGAGGTAGGCCCACTAAATTAAACACTGGAATTTCAATCCAAGTATTAAATGGTGCACTCCGCCTGTAATTTATCGTCATCCAGACGAGTTAGTTAAATGCAAACAATGAGTATGTGAGGACTGGAGAATGGTCTTTTTGCACCTACCCTGTTTCTCTGAGCACAGCAATGTGATTTTCTCCTTTTCATACCTTTACAAATTGTAATAATCCAGTGAACCAAAATGGAAGAGCTTGTGAAGGTTTTCAGACCAGTTTATTTTCTTAACATAGAGGTTTTCAGTAATAAAAGTTATCAAAGTAGTTAAGAGATCTAGGGCAGAATTTAGTGAACAAAGTTAGCTATGTGGGGGCAGTTCCAGTTCCGATTTGACCCTGCAGGATGTCTGTGGTAATAAGATATGTATATAAGGGAAATTAGAAAAAAAATACCAAAATAAAATTTTTAGTTAAGATTTTGAAAATGTAAATGGTAGCACAAGATATGAGTTTCAGTTATCATACAGAAACTACACCATCAATGTAGTTGGTGGACTGAGCTACTGCCATGGCCCCATCAGTCAGTCAAGTTCAAGATGGTGTCCCTCAGTTGTACAAAACCAAGGACAGTCAAATTGCATTTCAAACATCTTGTTTGCAAGAAGAAGTCACAGAACACTAACCTCATCTGGGTTACATGACTTCAGGGCAATCATACCATTGGCCCTTGGAAATCACTTGGGAGTCCAAATTTAAATTGCCTATACATATTGGAGAAATAATGGTTGAAGACTGTTGGGCAAGGATTAAATATTATTCTGTGTTGGAGCAGTTTAACAAAACTCTGGAAGTGGCAACATTTGATTATGCTTAATGGTATTGTGTTAACCCAAGAAAGGAGATGAATGATAGGTAGCAAATTCATTGAACTGAAAGTTTAAACATGGCTGCAAGTTGGGTTCAAAATAAATGCAAAATCATAACACAGAACATGGCATCTAATGCAGCATATAGCACATCCTAGTTTTATACCACATCCTCCCTCCTTATTCTTAAGGGTGTGCCTCTGTCACTGGCACAGTCCATCAGGAGACTGGGCATGACTTTGGATTCGTCCCTGTCCATGGTTGCGAAGGTTGCCAAACTGGCATTTTTCCAACTGCGCCAAGTTAGGCAGCTGGCTCCCTACCTGTCTCATCCTGACCTAGCCATGGTAATCCATGTAATGGTCACCTCCAGGTTAGACTACTGTAATTCGCTCTACATGGGCCTGCCCTTGTGCCTGAACCAGAAGCTCCAACTGGTCCAAAATGCAGCCACACATGTCCTCACCAGGACCCCCTGGACAGCACACATTCAACCAGTGCTGTGTGAGCTGCACTGGCTTCCAGTGGAGCACCAGATCACGTTCAAGGTTCTGACCTTCAAGGCCCTTAGTGGTCAGGGACTTTCTCTCCCAGTATGCCCCTGAAAGATCGTTACGCTCAGGGAATAACAACTTCTTGGTGGTCCCTGGCCCAAGAGAAGTCCAGCTGTCCTCTACAGGGCAAGGGTTTTTTTTGCTCTGGGCCCTGCCTGGTGGAACGCTCTGCCAGAAGACATCCGTGCCCTGTGGGAGTTATTACTTTTCCACAGGGCATGTAAGGCAGAGATGTTCCACCAGGCATTTGGTTGAGGATAGCGACAGGGGGGGGGATAGTATGTAGGGTTGCCAAATTAAATTTGCTTACCGGCGGGGGAGCATCTTGTCGATCCGGGAGCCGGCCGGGGATGCATGCGCGCCGCCAGAACGTCACCGGAAGTGACGCATGATGTTGCACATTCGGGGCGTGGCCAAGATCGTCGGGGGGGGAGCCATATGGTTTCCCCCCCACCCTCTGGGGCATGCCCCCCTACGTCGTGCGTCACCTCTGGTGACGCAGCTTCGGGGGGCAGGGTTTCACCCGGGGCCGATTTCCGTCACATCGGAAATCGGCCCTCCAAAGCGGGGGATTCCCCGCCCCCCGGGCCGATTTGGCAACCCTAATAGTATGACATCTGGCACTCTCATACACTTCCCCATCCCTCGCGACCTCTCCCCCCAGGGAGGCTGGAGAGCTGGATTTTTATTCTTTTTTGCCATCCTGTATATTGTACATGTATATTGTTTTTATCTATTGATATTTATTGGCTTGCTTTAACTCGATTTTAAAATTGAGATTTGTATATTATTTTGTTGTAAGCCGCCCTGAGCCCTACTAGTAGGGAAGGGCAGCCAAGCAAATCCAATTTAATAAATAAATAAATAAATATTCCGGAAAGCCATCTAAAACATGCAGTAAAAAGTACTGCAGAGTCTGAGAGATTTTTTTTTTTTAAAGACATTGACATATAAAAGCTTTTATGAGAGCCCATTTTGTTAGGTGCTTGAAGTGGTATCTTAAGTTGGCAAGTATATGTAGATACATATATGGGTTCTGGACACCAGCTGCCTAGAGAAAAACGTCCTATCCTTCAACAGAAGTTTAATTAAATGTTATTTATCTGGTAACGCTATTTACCTCCTTGCCACGAAAATCTTCCTCTGCTTATTTCCATACAATAAGCCTCTATAAAAGGGAAAGGACACTTTTCTCCAGGGATGATGGGGGGAGGGAAAAAGTTTGTGCATAATACGACTGAAAGTCCAAGGGTTGGATCAAACCAGAGGATCAGAATTTTTTTTGCCTTCCTCCACTTTTGCAAGAACTCTTCTGCAAAGATGATTCTTGAGGTCTCAGAACCCGCATGGACTAAAAGCAATGTGGCTGGCGGCGACGACGCTGAATTTAGAAGAGGTTGGTGAGCAAAATTGCTAGGGGAAGGGTAGGAAAGAAGGCAGCAATGCTGGGGGTGGGGATTACAGAAAGAAAATGGTAAAATGTTGCAAAAATAATTCCTCTCTCTTTTTGTATTTTCTGCAGACGAATCAATTTAACTTTGCCAACGTTATCCTTTGAAAGTGTTTATAACCTTCAGGACCCCCTTAATAAAGTGGGCCTATCTGAACTGCTGGGAAAGAGGGCCAACTTCAGTAAGATGACTGACGTCAACCTGAATGCTAGAAAGGTATAATCTATGTTTTGTACATGTTACACATATAAAATTCCATGTCAACTACAGAAAGCAATGACAGCAGTTCTAGGTGAAAAATAGACAATATAAAAATGGTGCGCTTCAGCAGTGCAAGCAACTCAAGTGAACACTATGGGCAGGGCCGGCTCACTCACTAGGCGAACTAGGCGATCGCCTAGAGCGGGATGGCCATTAGGGGCACCAAACTGCACCTGGCCCTGTACTCTGGGAGTTTCTTGATTATTTGTGTTTTTTATTTTTCCTAAAATGCATTAATTTTTTAAAATTGGTGGGCGCACCGGGGGGGGGGCAGCATAAGGGATCCTCGCCTAGGGGGCAAAATAAGCTGGAGCCGGCCCTGACTATGGGATAATGAAAAGCTGGATTAATGTATTTAACAGAATAAAGACATTGCAAGCAGGGGATTAGCAAGGACTTGCATGGCGTGTCTCGGGCCCCCTCCCCTACTCTTTCCTCTTTCCTTTCCCTGAAAGTTCCCATAGCCTCTCCGTCTTTTAATGCTTCCCTCTCTCTTTCCCACACATCAGCAAATTTGCCTTTACCTGCCCCCCCGGTCTTCAGCTTTTCCTTCTTCCCTGCCCCCGACAGCCTCTATTAGGGAAAACTACGGCCCTGTTGAGCAGTGCCAACACCCCATTTTTAAAAAAAGATTTCAGATTTCTTTGCAAACCGGGGGGCTTTTTCAGGTTTATAGAAAGACCTGGGTAGCCCTGACCTGGATAGCCCAGGCTACCCCAATCTTGTCAGATCTTGAAAACTAAGCAGGGTCAGCCCTGATCAGAATTTGGATGGGAGACCACCAAGGAATAGTAGGGTCATAAATGGAGTCAGGCAATGGCAAACCAACTCTAAACTTCTCTTACCTTGAAAATCCCATGAGGTCACCATAAGTCAGCTGTGACTTCATAGCAAAAAATAAAATAAACAATAGACCTCTCTTGCTTGTTCATAGCTTCAGTCTCTAGATCTAAGAACTTGCAGATTTCGTCAAGTTGAGAATTGGATATATTGACAAATGGGTCACCCCATTGCCTCCGCTTTTGCTTCCTCACCTCTCCACCACCCTTTTCTCCCTTTCTCTCTTTCTTCCTCCCCCATGCCTATTGTCACTCTTTCTTTCTCTCTATTTCTCCCTCCTCCCATAACTACTGTCACTTCTTCTCTCTTCCTCTATCTCCCTTCTAACATGGCAAGTGAGCCCACTGCTGTATCCTGCTTTACCACTTTGAGAATCATAATTGCAGAACAGGACAGATGTGGATACTATATGAGGCATGCCAACAAGAATATAAGAGGTCCAGTCTGGCATTTCACAGCCTCTTTGTCTAAAGAGAAGGGAGCAGACTCTATGGAAATTCTAAGATGGAGTCAGTTTGACTTATGTTATACAATTCAATAATCTTTTAAAAGGCAAACTCTTTAATATTATCACCATGGCCTTTGTGCTGTGCTGGTACAAATTCCATTAAGTCTTCTATAAATATTATCAGTCACATCATAGAGAATTTTCTAGAAAATTCTAGAGCAGATTATTAAATGCTGTCTGTGAGTACCTTGAACAGAATGAGTTAATTGGTAGTAGCCAGCATGGGTTTATCAAGAATAAGTCATGCCAGACCAACCTTATCTCCTTTTTTGACAGAGTTACTAAAATAGTTGAATCTGGCAGTGCTGTGGACATAGTGTATCTAGATTTCAGTAGAGCATTTGACAAGGTTTCTCACGATATCCTTGAGGATAAGCTGGTTAAGTGTGGGCTGGATGGTGCAACTGTTGGATGGATTCATGGTTGATTGAAAAATCGTACCCAACAAGTGCTCGTAAAAAGAAAGCTAATGCAATCTTAGGATGCATTAACAGAAGCAGGGGTCGTTTGGGGCTGGAGCGTGCCGGAGCGCTGCTCTGGCAGCCCAGGATCGGGAACAAATGACGGCGGCGGCAAGCCTCGCCCCTGCGCTCCTTTCTTCTAGAGTTGCACCGCAGCAGTGGCGCGATCTTAACATTATATTCTATGCCTGTCCGCTCTTTTCTTCTTGGCTCACCTGCAAGGCAGGCGAGGGTGGGTGGGGGCTCCTGAAGCCTTCCTCAGCTCGCCTGCTTGGGCGAGCGAGCCTCTCCGCTCTCCCCCGGCCATTCCTGGCTCCCCCGCCAGGCAGGAAAGCCAGGAGAGGGAGGGGCTCCTGAAGCCTTCCCCGCTTGGGCGAGTGAGCCGAGGAAGGCACGGGGAGGCATTTAAATGCCTCTCCACTCTCCCCCAGCCCTTCCTGGCTTGTCCGCTAGGCAGGCAAGCCAGGAGAGGGTGGAGGGCCTCCTGAAGCCTTCCTCGGCTTGCCCACATGGGCGGGCTAGCTGAGGAAGGCACAGGGAGACATTTAAATGTGAGCCTGCTCTAGCAAGCTGGGTTTGTACCTGGCTTGGGAGGGTGCTAATTGGGCTTCGGGTGGGTCAGGAAGCATAGGGCCTTCCCATCAGCCAGGCGGCATCTTTCCAGTGTCTGTCTTCACCCTCTAGCTTCAGGTGGTGGGGCAGGGCACGGACCACTTACTCCCCTAGGCAGCGTGAGGCCGGCTACCCGGTACACAGGCAGCTGGGGTTCCCATGGGACAGGGCTGTGGTGGGATGGCGACATCTGCGTGACCCTCCTTTTTGCGCCTTGGTGGGTGCAAGGGAGTAGCCCTGAGGCAGCGGGAGCCCAGTGGCTATGGCAGAACATGCTACGGGTTCCTGCCCATCTGGGCTCACAGCCGAGGTGCTCCTGGGGACTTATTTCCTGCACACACAGGGACTGCAACGGGGTGGCTGGTGTCAGTGAGGCCCTTTCCCCCTCACGCTGGAGGCTCTGAAGGAGTTGCAAGGCCAGCTTGGGGGGGGGAGATGCCTGGGCCCACTGGTAGTTTACTCAGCGGGCAGCAGCAGGGCGAGGGGCGCAGATGCCATCCACCCCCTGTGCGTGCATGAAGAGCTTTGCTCTACAGAGCGCATGCAGCCCATCAGTCCTGCCGGGGCTTCAGTAAGGCACCGTGGGACAGCAACAGAGCACAGAGCATCTGACGGGCTTCACTCCACAGCCTCTTCTAAGTATGGGATGCAGGCAGTAGGTGATGTGAAAGACCTCTGCCTGAGACCTGAGAGAGCTGCTGCTAGTCAGAGCAGATGATTCTGATATTGGTGGACCGAGGGCCCGATTTAGACTAAGGCAGCTCCATGTATGCTGCAGTAGAAGTGGCTTATCCCTTTCCCTGAGAAGCTCCCAGATATTAGACATCCCCCCCCCCCTTGCGAGATCTGCAGCCAAGGCAATGGGAGCAGGGCTTTGCAGTAGGATCTCTGATGGCTAGTTAGACAAGAAGGGAGGCTTTCGGGGCGGTAGCTCAGTGGCATAGCCCCTTCTTGCATGCAGAGGGTCCACAGTTCAAACGCTGGCACCTCCAATTTAAAAGGTTCAGGAGGGGGCAATACTGTTTCTAAGCGGTGGAGCCTTGGGAGCAGAAATTTTACTTTGTGAGCTACTGGCATTAAAGTCGCAAGTGAGCAATTCGGCTACTGCACACTTAGGTTGCCCTGCAGCCACCCTTCCTGAACTAAGACAAAAATGGCTGTGCCAGAGGCTAATTAATTAAAACAAACAAAAAACCCACCTGATCTTGCTCACACTAACTCAGCTTAGAGGGATCACTGGGTGGAGATCCAGGAGAGTGGCTGCTGGTCTGGAGGGACGATCTGACTTGACGGTCTGATTCAAGACAGCTTCATGTGTTTGTGGGGTGAATACCCAGGGGTAGGCTTTTTATTAAAACACAGCATTTATTTATAACTGATTTTTTAATGACGATTTTTGACTGATTTTGTCTGTTTAAATACTTGCCTGCTGAGCAGAGCAGTTGCACAGTAAGGATGGGATGGCAGGGAGTGGAGGGGTGGGGTTGGGATGGGGGTAGAACTCAGGCTGTGAGAATGTGCATACATGAAGAATCTGTTGCATTGTATGGCATGGTTGGAAAGGAATACAACAAAGTAACCTGCTGGACAGCTGTGAACAGACAAATCTATCAATGAAAAATCAGCTCCTTGTTTGCAATTGGTGAACAGGATGTCAACCAAACCGGCAGCTGTTCAAGCATTCCTACATAAGAGTAGGGATGAGCCAATACAATGTATGTATCTAGCCTTCTGACACACTTCTGGTGATGTCAGGGGGTGTGGCATATGCAAATGAGTTATGCTAATGAATTCTATGAAATGACCCCTGAACAGAAGCATTGTGTCCAGATCATGGGAGGTAGTAGTCCTGCTCTATTCTGCTATGGTCAGGCCTCACCTGGAGTACTGTGCCCAGTTTTGGGCACCACATTGTAGGAAGGATGTTGATAAGCTTGAGCGTGTCCAGAGGAGGGGAACCAGAATGGTGAGAGGGTTGGAATCCAAGTCTTATGAGGAAAGGCTGAAAGAGTTGGGTCTGCTTAGCCTGGGAAAGAGAAGGCTTAGAGGGGACATGATTGCAGTCTTCAAATATTTGAAGGGCTGTCATGTAGAAGATGGAGCAGATCTATTCTCTCTTGCTCCGGATTGCAAGACTAGATCTAATGGGTGGAAATTACAAGGGAGTCATTACTGGCTAAATATCAGGAGAAACTTCCTAACTGTATGGATGAGCAGTGGAACAGTCTGCCTCGGAAGGTGGTGGATGCTCCTTCGCTGGACGTTTTCAAGCGGAGGCTGGACGGCCATCTTTCGGATATGTTGTAGGGCTATCTTTCGGCTATGCTCCTGCAGAGTGCAGGGGGTTGGACTAGATGACCTGCAAGGTCCCTTCCAACTCTAACATTCTATGATTCTATGATCTATAGGCCCTTTTGATTTGCACTTAAAAAAAATTACCTTTTCGTTTACTTGGACTTTTATTTGCCATCCCTCTGTCATGCGCTGTTGCCTCAAACTAGCGGGCTCACTGCGAACTTTTGCACTTGCAGATTATAAACCAGCAACTGTTTGAACTCCGTCCTGGTAAAGGAGATCACACAGAAAACCCTACAGAACAAAACGAGGACACCGAGACACTCAGCATAACACTGAACAAGCCTTTCCTGTTGGCAGTGCATGAAAAAGAGTCAAGTGCTTTGCTGTATTTTGGCAGAGTGATAAACCCACTGCAATGAACATAAATCTCACATTAATATGATTTCCCTGATTTCCTTCAGTAATTTCCCTTACTTTGTAACTGTTCCCCCCCCCTTTTGTTGCTATGTTAAACTGTTTGAAATTTTGGAATAAAGGTGATGTCTTTCACATCTGTATCCGATGTAAGGACTAGTAGTCCCTTTCTAAAATCCCCCTTCACTTAAAGGTGGGTATGGGCTCGGTACACAACTGTGGATGTCTAAGGATGGCTTGTGCACTCTCTCATACCTCCCTTTACCTTACTGGCTTGGAGAGTCTTCAAACTCCAGTTTGCAGTGACATCCAATTGAGGGTGCCTGGGCAAATTGGAAGTTGCTTTCCCCCCTGTAAACTGAGATTCTAAATCTCATTTTAATCTCCATTGAGAATGCCGGTTTGTGTGTGTGTTGGGGACAAACTTCCATTTTGCCCAGGTGCTTGCGTTGGACACCAAAGCAGGAAGGTTCCACTTGCTTTTTGCATGGGAGGGAAGGAGGTGGTGGGGAGTAGCTTACAGACGCAGCCAACAAGCCATGCTTGGTACCAACAGGCATGAAACTCATGAGGATTACCTTGCTGGGTTTGATAGCAGACTGTCTTCCACCTGTGAACAGCCCAGGGTGCTTCCAGAAGCCAACAAAGCATGCTGATGATAGTCACCCCCTGCTTGCCCCCATAGTCCAGAAATCAGAAGTGTAATGCCTCTGAACATAGAATTCCATTTAGATGCTACAGCTAATGGCCACTGATAGGATTCTCCTCCATGAACTTTTTGTTGTTGTTCAGTCGGACAGTCAAGTCGGACTCTTTGCAACCCCATGGACCACATCACGCCAGGCCCTCCTGTCTTCCGCCGTCCTCCGGAGTTTGCTCAACCTCATGTTCATTGCATGAATAACACTGTCTGACCATTTTTGCCGTCCCCTTCTTCTGTTACCTTCAATATTTCCCAGCATCGGGGTCTTCTCCAGTGAGTGTTCATTTCTCATTTGGTGGCCAAAGTATTTGAGCTTCAGCTTCAGTATCTGGCCAATCCAGTCAGGGTTGATCTCCTTTAGGATTGACTGATTTGATCTCCTTGCTGTCCAGGGGACTCTCAAGAGTCTTCTCCAGCACCATAATTCAAAAGCATCTATTCTTCAGCGCTCGGCCTTCCTTATGATCCAACTCTTGCAGCCATACATTACTATTGGGAATACCATTGCTTTGACCATATGGACTTTTGTTGGCAGGGTGATATCTCTACTTTTTATTATGCTGTCTAGGTTCGCCATCGCTTTCCTTCCAAGGAGCAGGCATCTTTTAATTTCATGGCTGCAGCCACCGTCTGCAGTGATCTTGGATCCCAGGAACGTGAAGTCTGTCACTACTTCCACTTCTATTTGCCAAGGAGCGATGGGGCCGGATGCCATGATCTTAGTTTTTTGACACTGAGTTTCAATCCAACTTTTGCACTCTCCTCTTTCATCCTGAGCAAGAGGCTCTTTAGGTCCTCTTCACTTTCTCCCATTAGAGTGGTATCGTCTGCCTATGAGGTTGTTGACATTTTCCCCGGCAATCTTAATTCCGGCTTGTGATTCATCCAGGCCGGCATTTCACATGATGTACTCTGAATATAAATTGAATAAGCAGGTGACAGTACTCCTTTTCCTATGGTAAACCAATCAGTTGTTGCATATCCAGTTCTAACTGTTGCTTCTTGACCCTTATACAGGTTTCTCAGGAGACATGTGAGGTGGTCTGGAACTCCCATCTCTTTAAGGACTTGCCACAGTTTGTTGTGGTCCACACAATCAAAGACTTTAGCATAGTCAATGAAGCAGAAGTAGATGTTTTTCTGGTACTGCCTTGCTTTCTCCATAATCCAGCGAATGTTGGCAATTTGATCTCTCGTTCCTCTACCTCTTTGAAACCCAGCTTGTACTTTTGGGAGTTCTGTATCCGTGTACTGCTGAAACCTAGCTTGTTGGATCTTGAGCATGACCTTGTTGTGTGTGAAATGAGTGCAATTGTGCGATAGCTTGAACATTCCTTGGCATGGCCCTTCTTTGGGATTGGAATGTAAACTGACCTTTCCCAATCCTGTGGCCACTGTTGCGTTTTCCAAATTTGCTGGCATATGGAGTGCAGGACTTTAATAGCATCATCTTTTATGACTTTAAACAGCTCAGCTGGGATACCATCCATGAACTTAGTATTTGTGTGGCCTGAACTTAGTATTTGTGTGGCCTGAAAAAGCAATAGGTAAATCCATGAACTTACCTATTTGCTTTTTCAGGCCACACAAATGAGTGGTTTTCCCTGTATTTTGCAGGAATGGATTCTGTAAGTATTAATTCAGCGACGTGGATGGGCAGCATGCGGGGGTGGGTGGGTAGGAACAGTTTAGACCTTTCGCTTTGCAGTTTAAAAGTAGAGCCCTTCAACCAGTTCAAAGTTAATTATCATTGAAACCAGTGGAAGACATCAGTGATGACTATTGTTCAATATTAGAGAGCCAGTTTGGTGTAGTGGTTAAGTGTGCGGACTCCAATCTGGGAAAACCGGGTTTGAGTCCCCACTCCTCCACTTGAACCTGCTGGATGACCTTGGGTGAGCCATAGTTCTGGCACAGCTGTTGTTGAAAAAGAGCAGTTTCTGTCAGAGCTGTCTCAGCCCCACCTACCTCACAGGGTATCTCTTGTGGGGAGGGGAAGGGAAAGGAGTTTGTAAGCCGCTCTGAGACTCCTTTGGGTAGTGAAGGATGGGGTATAAATCCAATCTCTTCTTCTAATATTAAATTTAACTACATTGGGGCCCAGATTGGTCAAATAAAGGCTGAGGAATGTTTAATCTGGAGAAGAAGAGGTTGAAGGGGTACATGATTGCTCTCTTTAGAGGAGGGCAGGGAGCTGTTCTTGTTGGCAGCAGAGGACAGGACTCACAATAATGGGCTTAAATTAAGAGTGGGAAGGTACTGGCTGGATAGTAGGCAAAATGTTTTGACAGTAAGAGTTGTGCAACAGTGGAATCAGCTGTCTAGGGAGGTGGTGAGCTCCCCCTCACTTGACAGTCTTTACGCAGCAGCTGGACAAACACTTGTCAGGGATGCTCTAGGCTGATCCTGCATTGAGCAGGGGGTTGGACTAGATGACCTGTATGGCCCCTTCCAACTCTGTGATTCTATGAGTTGTTACCTAACCACCATTTATTTTGGCAGGCCTTGAAAAGAGATTGTACAAAGCAATTGTATAGTGGATTATAAAATTAAGGTGCTCTCTTATAATGAATGAGACATATGGTCTATTTAGCTCAGTATGGTCTATCCTGATCATCTGTATTCTGTATCCTGCAAAGGACGATATAATCAAGGTAGATACAAATCCAATGCACATCCGTCCCTCCATCTGTGTGCAATGGCATCTCCAACTTCACACTGAAGTTTACCAGTCCCCACCTGTCAACATCCACGTTTTTCTGACATTTCCATTCATAACTGCATGTCAACCAAAAAAGTATTCATTCCATTGTATTTTACAAACATCCATACTTCTTTATGAGACAATGGTGTGATACTAAAAAAATCCAAAAATAAATCTGCTTCTGAGTACTAAAGTGATGCTGTTGAATATAGGTGCTGATTTTTAATATGTTCATGATGATTCTCTATAAAGCTACTTTCCTTGGCCATTATTTGCAACTGTTTGATTTCTCATTATGTCAGATTTACATGGGCTTATCAAGTAAATTGCATTTACTTTATATATTACTAAACATTGTTATGCAAACCCCAAACAAAAATATGCCAATTTCTTCTAAACATTAATGTTTTTATAACTATGGAACATATAACACAGTTTCATCTATTCTTCCACACACTGTCTCTTATAATTTCCTGTTCACTTATCAAGATTCAGTTCCTATTCCAGATACTGTTTAATCTTAACATTTAATAACTATGTATATTATTTCTTATTATGCTTCCCCCCACCCCCCAATCTCTTTGATCCATGCAGTAACCACATCAGTTTGCATGGTGGTTTCTCACCTGGTGTGCTGATGAGAGTTCTGGGCAGGGGAGGGAATATTCTGAATATCTATCAGCACTGACCTTGAAGGATGGAGAAGCAGCTTTCGCAAGAGCTTACCATTATAAAAGCAGTGAAAAGAAAATATTGGACTTTCTGCACCAGCATCAGAAAGGTAGATAGTAATTCCTGTTATCCTGCGTCAGAAGGTAGAGTTTCAAAGACTTGTTACACATGCAGTAGAAGGGGGTGGTAGAATCCTGACACAAGAGTGGACTGTTGCCCCTTCAGATCAGCTGCAGAAATTAAACTGTAATAGCCCATTAGGGCAGTTTTTCTCTGACTGGCACCAAGTGCATTAGAACCCTGGCTGCTAGAAATAAGTAGGGATGCGCAAAATTCTGTGGGGTCAGATTGCCCTGTAGTGTCCAGGTGCAATTATGAGATTCTTTTGAACTATGGTGCTGGAGAAGACTCTTGAGAGTCCCTTGGACTGCAAGAAGATCAAATCAGTCAATCCTAAAAGAAATCAACCCTGACTGTTCCCTGGAAGGCCAGATAATGAAACTGAAGCTCAAATACTTTGGCCACCAAATGAGAAGGGAGCACTCACTGGAGAAGACCTTGATGCTGGGAAAGATTGAAGGTCAAAGAAGACGGGGATGGCAAAGGATGAGATGGTTAGACAGTGTCATAGATGCAACGAACATGAAATTGAGCCAACTTCAGAGGACGGCGGAAGACAGGAAGGCCTGGCGTGATCTGGTCCATGGGGTCGCGAAGAGTCGGACTCGACTGTGCGACTGAACAACAAAATTAGAAAAAACACATTTATTATGGTATGTTAATGCAATAGCAAATCTTTGCAGTTTCCTTTCTTTATTTTCCTTGGGAAAATTGCTAGGATTTAAATATTGCCATAAGATTGGAATTAATAGGAAATAGTTTTGCAAACCATACAAGAGATTAAAGTGACATCCTTATGAGTAATGTGGATTTTCAAAACCATGCAAATGTTTCTCCTTCAGATTTTTTATGTGTTAAGTAACAAGATGCAGATATCTAGCTTTCAGATTTTATATGTCTGATATGCAGTGAAAAGGTATGCTGCTTTGATGTCAGTACACAAGACAGTTTAAAAATTTCATCTCAACACTCTTTGTAATTTCTAGTAATAACCAAACTAGACACATGAGTTCATGACTTTAATCATCTAGCCCTGTCATAACAGGTTACAAAGGAAGACAATGCCTTTCTTTATTTGTAATCATATTAAATCAGCTTTCATTCACAATAAGATTTACAACAAAAATAAAAAGACTTCCATAGCTCTGTGGTAGAATGTCTAGAAATCTATAAAGTCTTCCATATAATGGAAAACTAGAGTATTGAAAGGTCCCTCTTTTTGGTGAAACGAGCCTTTGTGAATCTCGAGATCAGATGTATCTGACTTGTTGCTGAAGCTGCATTAGGAAGCTCTTCATCGCTACATAGTATTTGGCGAGAGGAATAAAAATAAACCCACTCCTGTTTCAGGCCAGACTGGCTTTCATCACACTTCTGGAAACTGCTATGTTTGTTCTGCTGATATCTGATCCTTGGCAGCCTGAACAAGCTCTGAAAGAGCTGAAAAGCTTTTGATGTTGCTCAACTGCAATCCAATCTTCTGCATCTAAAAACAAAATATTAAATTACTATTTTTGTTTAGTAGAAATATGATGCATCACATGATCAGAAGGTCTAAAAACAGGCACAAGGAGTTCTTAAAATAACAATCAAATCTTTCACTTCAAATGCATTTTCATTTCATATGCATTTTGACAAGCCACTGGTTAACTGCAGAATGAGTTGTTTCCCCAATAACCAAAATGTGATCCATTTATTTATTTCAAGATCATGGGGACTTATATGCTGATGTTTGCCAAATACGAAATAATAGTTTGGATCCAGCACAAGGACCATGAATCTTCCCTGCTGTAGTGGTTAAATGGGCGGACTCTAATCTGGGAGAATCGGGTTTGATTCCCCACTCCTCCACTTGCAGCTTCTGGATGACCTTGGGCAATCAATAGTTCTGTCAGAGCTGTTCTCCAAAGCACAGCTCTGGAAAGAGCTCTCTCAGTCCCACCTACCTCACAGGGTGTTTGTTGTGGAGAGGGGAAGGGAGAAGAGTTTGTAAGCCGCTCTGAGACTCCCGAGTGAAGGGCGGGGTATAAATCCCATCTCTTCTTCTTCTCTTCACAGCAGCCATTTCCATCCTAGGGAATGTTTATCCCCAAGGTCATAGGACCTATGTGAAGTATTAGCCATGAGTTTTTGAGAAGCTGCAGTGGGGAGGGGAAGGGGATACGATCACTCCCTCTTTTGTGAGCAGAGCTCGGCTCATGGAAGGTGTAGGCAGGAGCAATTTTGCCCTCTTTTCCCTCCCCACTGCAGCCTCTTGGCCTGCATGGCTATTTCTCCACGCGGGTCCTATGATCCAAAGGAATAAACTACTGGGGAAAGAGGAAAGGTGGGAAGATTGGCAACAGACTGTGCTTTGATGGATTGTGGGATTCATCCTAGTGTTTAACAGTAATGGTGCCTTACACAGTGTTGTGTAAGTTGAATAGCTGGACCCTGACACAAGAGAAAAACAGTAGAGGCTGTGTGCACTATTCTTCCTTGTAAATGAAATACAATAGCTCTCAAGCCAGAAGCAAAGGTGAAAGAGCTATATATGCAGTCTGTTGACTGCCCTGTGTTACATATGGCAGCACTATGGTAGTTGTATCTTGAGTTTTATCCCTGTTGTAATGGTAGAAGCATCTGCATTGCTGAGGACAAATGGTTTTCACTTTTATATGAATTTTTGAAAGTAAAAAATTTAAAAGAGAATTTATGTAGTACTAAGGTTCGGGTCACATGGAGCATTAGGCACGCTAGAGGGACGGAAGATAGGCGGAGTTTCCGGGCGTGATCTCACCGGCACATCTGGGAAGTGTCGGGCTCCCGTGGCGCAACCGAGGCTTCCCGCCGAAGGCGCGCAGTAAAAAACTAGTACCTCGGAGGTACTAATTTCCTGTAACCGCGGGGCAAGGGCGGGCGTCTGATCGCGTTTCCGGAGGTAGTTCCGGCGCCCGCCCATGTCCCCTCGGAATTTTTTTTTTCAAAGTCTCCACAGATGCGCACACGCACCCAAGGGAGCATGCACACATTTGAGTTTAAATAAAAAAACAACCAACCCGTTTGCCCCGCGCCCCGCTTCTTTGCCGCGCCGCAGGACAGTGGAGTGATCGGCACCTCCCCCCTATCACGGGACCTCGATCGGTAGGTCTGATCAAGCAACCGCGCGGTTTTTAGCCCCGGGGCTAACAGCTTCCCCCCCGCATTTTCCTGCCCGTGTGACTGGGACCTAAGAGTGTTTTATACTCCTGTAATCTGGTTATTTTTTTCTGACAAAGTTTATACATGAAGACAACGCATACATGAACACACTGACAAAAATATGAAACAAACAGTAGTTATCAGTTTGGTGATGTATTTAGAATAGTCCTAACCAAAGCAGCCACTAGTGCCATTAATATTAGTTTCTACTTTTTTGCAACAAAAGGTTCCATCTCAGTACAAAAATACTATGTGGCTTGATCATATTAAAAGGATATGGTTAAAGACATTCAAGTGCATAGAAATCAGGCTACAATTATAATTATATGATTACAGGGGTTGCAAAGCCCTTGGGAGTTTGCTGTTCTTGCACAACCAAAACTACTAATCTGAAAATACAGAAGGAGCTATAGTAAAGAAGGTGCTAAAGAATTAGTTACAATACAGCAATTTCATCATTTTGTTATTATAAAAGGGGGGATTAATCAAGCCTAGCACTGCCAAGTTTTTTACTAGTACAAATTACAGAATAAATACACTAAGTCTTTCTGACTGTTCAATTACATAAGAGGGCTTTTTCAATGTATATAATTAGACTTTAAAAACAGCAGCAGCAGCAACAGCAGCCTTGCCATCATTAGCTTTCAATTTTGGATGTGCCACCTTCTCTGACCCTGAAAAAGTAGTTGAAGTTAAAACGTTTTTTCCATTTTTTTGTGCAAAATATGTGCCTTATCCAGATGTTCCTGGCCCCACTTTTAAAATAGCTTAGAAGCCCCAACTGAAAGCAGTAACTGTTAACAGTCATACTACTATGCATTTATTCCCTTGCTCAAGGGGGAATAGGAAGGCAGCATAGAAAGGAATTCTGACTGAAAAGAACTGCAATTAAGTACTGAAATCCTTTTAAAGGACTACTTCTTTTAGGCCAAAGGTCCTCCAGGGTCTTTTATCCAACATCAACAAAAGTCACGGTGTGCAGCCAAGTTACCTGAACTCCATAGTACTCCACATCCAAGGCCAACTGCAAGCGGATTTTGTTATCATCACTCATGCCACCATTTGGAGAGGGACTGTTTGTGGTCACAGTTTTCCTAGCCTGCTTCAGCCTTTTCAAACTTTCTTCCATTTTCTTTACAGAATTCAGAATATCTGATATAGTCTCAAAGTACCTGAATTAAGAAATTGAGAGAAGATTCAGGTTTTATATGAAGTATATACAATTCAGTTTAGCAGGGGTGGAAGTTTTTCTAAAAAGTGTTCTAAAGAGCAAGATATTCAATACACACATTTCTATGACAGCTGGGCACAACCCGGCCACTTCTTTGTTTATTAAAACATTTCTTTTCTCCCCTTCCATCTCATATGGGATCCCCAAATGATTCCAAGAGGAAGTAATATATTCACTTACCTGTCTCCTACTGGCTGGAACATACCCAAGGCCAGTGATGGCGAACCTTTTAGAGACCGAGTGCCCAAACTGTGACCCAAAACCCACTTATTTATTGCAAAGTGCCAACACGGCAATTTAACCTGAATACTGAGGTTTTACTTTAGAAAAAACAACTCATACATTAACTTAAGATGATCCAAACAAAGTTACGAAAGCAATCCCAAATGCTTTCATTTACTTAAAAAATTTTGGCGGAGAATTCAACACTTTAATGATGGTCTGGGCCTGGCTGGGGCAATGGCACACGTGTCCACAGAGAGGGCTCTGAGTGCCACCTCTGGCACCCGTGACATAAGTTTACCACCACTGCCCTAGGCTGATCCTGCATTGACCAGGGGGTTGGACTAGATGGCTTGTATGGCCCCTTCCAGCTCTGTGATTCTATGAAAGGAAGCTATCTTGTGCGATTCCGAAGGGTCTTAGAAGCATGTGACATCTGCCTATCAAGGTCCAAGAAGCAATGAGCCAGGAATGATTTGCTCTGGTGCTCCCCTGAGAAAAGGAGTGGTGCCCAGGGAAGGGGCAAAAAACCCAAGGTAACTTCAATCCTCTTCCCCCTTCCTGCCAGAAGAGGCCTTCCCATGTATACAGTGGTGGAAATGGGGCTTAATCAGTCAACAACACCCCCCCTTCCCAGCGGTTTCCAGGTCTGACATCAGTAGCAAGCATTGGCAGATGCTTAATGATGCCAAATGTTGACACCAGGCCCTGTTTTATAGATAGACAGATACAGCTTAGGCAGCAACTGGAGGACTAAAGGGGAAACAAAAGTGGTGATAGAAAGGTGATTCTTTTTCTTGTGCTACACTCACAAACAAGTGACTCTGTATAAGCAAACTAAAGAGATTTAATTTGCTTTTAAATATTACCGCAGGGAATTTGTATACATCTATGACGAAGTGAGCTCCCGTCTCCAGTTCCAGCTCCTGCCAACCTAGCAGTTCGAAAGCAAGAAATTGCAAGTAGATAAGTAGGTACCACTTCGGTGGGAAGGTAACAGCGTTTCATGCGCCTCGGTGTTTAGTCGTGCCAGCCACATGACCATGGAAACGTCTTCAGACAGCGCTGGCTCTTCGGCTTTGAAACGGAGATGAGCACCGCAACCCTAGAGTCGGACTTGACTGGCTTTCGAGCAAGGGAACCTTTACTTTTACTTTATACATAAAATATGTAACTGGCTGTTGGCAAGTACTGCAACTAACAGCATGATCTTAAGCTGAGTCACACCCTTCTAACTCCTTTAAAATCAACAGGCTTAGAGTGGTGTAATGCTGTTTAAGATCGCACTGTAAACCTGCAACTTAGGCTGAAGCAAATTTTTTATTTATTTGATACGATTATACACTGCTTTTCTGGCATTTTATTCAAGGCAGCTTTCAGTTCAAAATGTTACCTACAATACCATGAAAGGAAAAGGGGACAGAAAGAGGAAAGGAAAAAAAGCACTACCTCTTAGACGACTAATGGTATATACAACTGTAAGGAATGGAGGTTGTTTAGACTTATATTTTGTTTGGCTCTGCTGGTGGAAAAGTGTTATAAGTTTAGCAAGACCCAGCCTTGCAAGCCACTGGAAGCAATCTGCTCGCAGCATAACTACATTCAGCTGCAAGATTTTGTTATTGTGGAGAGTTGTCCTTGGAAACCTCCCTAATCTTTTCAGAAGCCAGTAGGGTAAATTAGTAAATTGAATTCTTATCAGCTGGCTGCCTTATAGCAGAGGAATGGACATAAGAAAAGGAAGCCACTGTTGTTACTCACTCATTAGGCTTCGCAGGGTGGGGTCAGTTACACTCCACATTGATACAATGAACTGCGACTGAGATGGAATTAACCCTCGTTCTCTTTAACCTGACAATGGACTTATCTTAAAAACTTGCCTCATAGAAATGAGTTATTGTTTTTATTGGGCCAGTGATCTGGCCTTTTACTGGGGTTTTTTTTGCTGCTGCTTGTTGTTACTGGATGTCTTCTGCTTTCAATACATTCCTTGAAGTTCAGCTGATTTTACTGAATTAAATGTGACAGTTCTCTTTTCAATTGTGTCCAGAATTTATTTTGCTGAGTGACTGTGTTTATCCATATAAATGAACCCCAAGGTCCTCCAGACCGGACAACATTTTAAACATTAGTAACTATTCAATTAATTTTCTTACCTAAGTATCTAATGCAATAATAAAACAATACCCTGACACTGTATTGGCAATTGCTACACTACATTTTCAAGGGGGTGGCAGAAGAGCTGAGGGACATGAAGACTGTGTGTCTCACCTAAGGTCCCGATTAGGAATCGGCACAAACCAGCTTATGAACCAAATTGCATGACGAACCGATCTGGTTCGTTGGTTCGCAAACCACAATTCATGCAACAGCATTGTCCGTGAACTGCACACAAACTGCCATGTTTTTTGCAGCAGTTCATTCGGTTCATAAGAGCATTCTCTTTAAATGCCTTCCCTTCACTTGCTGAGAAGACTGAGTTGATTTAAAGTCCCTGCTGAGTTGACTCTGGCACAATCCCTGCAACCACTCTAAAATCCCCTGCACCCCTTTCTCCTTGTGGATCACTTTCCTTCCCCTGGATCCACCCACCTTCCCAGGGTGCTGCAGTCCCAACTGAGTATCCAAAAAGTGCCCCTGGCCCCCCCTCTGATATCCAGGGGTCCACTTCCCAAACCGTCCTTCACTAGCGAGCAAGCCCCCCCTTTCACCTTCTCTCCCCCATAAAACCACCTTCCTGGGGTACTGGAGACCCCATTCTTTCACTGCTTGCACCTCCTGGCCTTTCGCTAACACTGTCAAAGGTCGGCCAGCCGGCATGATCCCCGCAACCACCATCAAATCCCGCATACCCCTTTTTCCATGTGGATCATTTTCTTCCCTGTGTCAAATCCTGCCTTCTTGTGGTGCTGCAGTCCCAACTGAATATCCAAAAGGTGCCCTGGGCTCCCTCTGTAACATCCAGGGGTCCACTTCCCAACCCTCCCCTTCACTGTAATTGCAAACAAGCCCCCCCTTGCCTCAGCAAGTGAATGGAAGGCATTTAAAAATGCCACCCTCCATGGAAGCGCCCCCCAACTCACAAACCTAATGAACCACAAACTGGCTCGGCTAACTGGTTCGGCAAGCCATGAACCACCACAGACCTCCATTTTCCCAGTTGGTGCCCACCCCTAGTCCCCATCTTCCATGTGCTTTCCTGCTAATACTTCCAGGGGGATACACACTAGGATACCCAAAGTAGCCTTGCCAGCAAAGCACGCCCACTTTACTTTAACAGTATAAGAATGGTCATAAAAGTAATTTTATGCTAAACACAGGGAACATCAAATGTGTCCAAGAGCTATAATTAGTTATCATGTATATCAGTTATCACACTGTTCGTATTCTTTGGCAATGAAATCCCAAGAGATAACAAGAGAAGACATGATGGCTGTTACTGAACATGGGAAATTCTCCTTCGTTGGACATGGAAAGAATTGCATTTAATGCTGAAGCGACCCTGTAGAATTGCATTAAAGTTCCACTTACTTCTGAGTGCTATTACTGAGGGCGCCTTCAAACCAGTGCTCAATTACAACTGGTTTCAAAGTATCTTTGTACTCATTCTTCAGCTGGTAGAAGGGTTTAAGGGCACTGTCAACATAAGGCAACGCCTTAGTTGGTACCTCCTGGTTAACGACACATGAGGCAAAGGGAGAAACAAGAGAGAGTAAACAGCTTGTTATTTTAGCATCTAGAGCAGGCTAGCCCTCCCCAACAGAGAAATGCAAAGCATGCTCACACATCTGCTACAGTGCATGAAGATTTATTTGCTCATGCACAACAGAGTTTTGGAATTATTCAGCATCAGTCGAAAAACTAAGCAGATGGAAAACTTGGGGTAAGATTTAAGACAGCCCTAGGAAAATGTGGCTCAGTATGCTCAATCCACTCTGCCTCCAAAGTAAACTGAAATTACACCTGTCTTCCTCCTCCCTTCCCCGGCAGAATCAGTCTAACATCATCACAACATGTAAAAACAAAAACAGCTTTTAAAAATAAGGTTGTCAAACACATAAACATCTTGGATGGCAAATGATCTGGTTTTCATTCAGCAAATCTATTAAAATACCACCCAAACCTCAGTTTAGGCCCCTTATTGAGTCTGCATATTTGATCCTAATCTGTGCTTGCTGGATCCCTAGCATATCAGACATCAACATGTCTGGGAAAGACTGCTATCCCTTTTTGCACTGATCATGCTAAAGCAGATGAACTGGTAGTTAATGGTGCATTTCATGAACAGAAAGAAAGCAGACAATTTGAGCAGAACACTGCTAGATAGGCAAGATTCATTTCCTGAGACGCGCCAGCTTTCTTGGTTAGAAGTGGTAGAAATGGACAACACCCAGCTTTAAGCAAACACATAAAATTAGGGGTTCCCCAACCTTTAAAGCAAAAAAGAATTTGTAGGTAAAGGTGTTAAATCCTCCTCCATCCACAGTGCACCTCCCCACAGCATAGTGTCCTACTATGCTTTTCTTGTCAGCCAAGCTCTGGTATCAGAACTGAGCTATGCTGGAACAAAACGGCCTTGGGAGAAAGGCTAAAGAGCAGGATAGGTTCAGCTCTCATCACCTGCACACTAGTTTTGCTTAAGCTCCATTTTACATGATTGGAGAGGACCAGAGTTAAGCAAATGGGTCTGCTGCCATCATATATAGCTTGAGCCACAATTTGCAGCATCAGGATTTAATCCTACACTAAGCTCATCACTTCAGATTCTACCAAAGCTAAAATTTCAAAGGCAATGACAGACGAAACAGAGCACACAAGCTGTAAATGGAGCTAGGAGACATTGCGGTGACTGAGCTTTGCTGCAGAAGTGCTATAACACCATTATCAGGATAAATCTGAAGAGTCAATGTCTCACCATTTCATGGAGTTACTTTGCAAAGTCTTGAGCAAGAGAATGATATACAATTATAAAGTCACTATAACCGAAAGTAATCCTTAGACCAAAAAAATTAATGAATTGTCAGGAGGTTGCAAGGGGTATGTTCTATCAGCAGTAAGGCTTGTTTTCCATAATTTACCAAAATAGCTGAACCTTGTCCCTGAAAACAGGCACCGTAATGAACGAAGAGCAATATTTTTTTCCCATCCATCAATCAGTAACTTCCTTTTCTAGCTCATGGATATGGAATTCTTAACGCTTTGAAATAAAAGTGCTTGACATTTGTGAGAAGATCTTCATTTATATGAAAAACAGACATGGCACTGGCAGAAGCATTTGATAGTTTCTTCCTGCTGTTCTGCTGATGTTCCTTCTGACTTATGTTAGAGGGGAGGGCAGGGGCAAAGAGAAGCAAGTTCAGGGACAGAATGGATTACCAGTTTATTCTTGTGTTCTGAGGAGTGAAGGTGATGTGTTTTAGGGTGAATCAACATCTGTGAATGTATGATGATTTACAAGTATCACCATTTTTCTTAGGCAGAGTGGGAAGAATGATGAAACTTCAGAACTTACTTGCTAATGCCTGCCTACACAGACTGGTCCATTAAAAAGAAGGAGAGTAAGTAGGTTGTTTGGATGGGCAATACAGGGCTCACTATGAGTGGGGGAGGACTGGCTGGGATGTGTTGGTTGGGGAAGTGGAAATACAATAGAAGAAAATGTGTATCACTAGTGGGGGGGTGGCTTTTCCTGATCTTTAGAAAGTGAATTAAAACATGAGTAAAGGGACTCGAACAGATTTTGGGGGCTGCTAAGTGACCAATATAGCCTACATCATTCTCATGAGTCTTTATTTTTCACATGCAAAACATACTAACCTTATTAGTTCTTCTATAAATTCTTGGGACTTCTAGGGCACTTTTCAGGCAACTGAAGCAAGAGTCACTTAAATCCTGCATAATCTTACTGTTTAAGATCGGCCAGCAACCCAGTAATGACTCCTTTGAATCTTCCAGTGCTCCTGTGAAGAAAGAGAAACCTCAGTGTAAAAACTAATTTGCCTAGATCTGGCCTGGATGTTCACAGAGGCTTGGTGCAGAAGTAATAATTCCTGATCTTCAAAAAAAGTATGCAATCGATCCATGCACTATTTCCCCACAGCAGGAGAAGAGATTGGTTTGACGGCCACTGGCCCACCTCAGTAGCCAGCCAGTCATGGAAGAGCCAAGCAGGTGAAGCGTCTTTGTCAGGAGACACAGCAATTTTGGCAGTTTATTCAGAGAGGGAACAGTGGCCTTGGTGGGCAGTGGATGGGAGAGCACCCAGCCAATGGCACATGAGTACTCTTGAGTGGTGGTTGATGGGCCAATGACTGATGCGAGCGCACAAACACAGCCAATGGGAGAGCTGGAAAGTGCGAATACACCAGGGCTTTTATATATATACTAGGAAGAATTCCCGTTGTGGAACTGAAGACAACGGAGTGCTAGCCTGGCCGCGAGTGCGGGTCACCGTCTCGATCTGGCCCCCCCACGGCGAAGCTGGCCTTCCTGCCCCGCACGGTCGAGGCTCCAGTGGGCCAAGCTGCCTGGCCTCGTCTGTCCACCCGGCATCCCCGGCCAATCGAGGCGCTGGTGAGGGAAGCCGGCCAGGCTGGCCCCTCTCCCCGCGATGGGTGCAAGACCGGCCGGGCGCAGGGCGCCGTCCACTTCCCGCCCCCCAACTCGGGGAAGCAGCCCGCATTCCCCCTCGCAGGGTCGAGGCCCCAGCAGATCAAGGCGCCTGGGTTGGCTGCTCCCACCACGACCCCCGGCTGAGTGAGGCCCCAGCAGGGCAAGCAGACCAGGCTCGTCCCTCTCCCTGCAATGGGCGGCAGCTCGGGCGGGCGGCTGCAGGCCCACGTCTCCTTCCCCAGCCCCCTCTCCTCTGTCCTCCTGCCGTGCAGTCGAGGCTCCCCACTTGGCCACCCCTGGTGCCTTTCCAGGCGGCTGGGCGGAGCCAGCGCATGTCGGCCTGGGCCTCGTCTTGGCTGGTGGCGGCTCCTGGACACTGAGCTCAGCAGCGGTGGCATGGCCCCGTCTGGGGCCTGCAGGCCAAGTGAGGGTGTCTGGTCAGTGGAGCACCCGGCCCGGGCTGTGGCTCAAAGGAAACTGAGGGCAAAAGGGTGGTCACTGCCTCCGTGGGCAGGAGGACACCCACCCAGGCAGCAGCACAGCGAATGGAGAGAGACGCCTGGTGAGTGACACACCAGGGCGCCAACCAATTCTGGAGCGTGTGGAATGTTCTAGAGAAGTGCCACCACCATTCGGCTTTTATTTATAAGGGAGATATCAGATGCAAGAGTATCCACTGCTTTATTTTCACAGCAACCCACACTACAGCATTATGCCCTCATCAACTTTTTCACAAACCCCTTCAAAACCACAGTTTCCAGCTATGGTCAAAACTTTTTATGCAGAACTAACCATAGTTAGCAAAGATGCCAGCACAGATACTAATGTTACAACATGGTTAGCTCTGAAATTGAAAGAGATGGAAGAAATTACCACATGAGAAGGTGGGAAAAGAAGGGGAAGAGAATGCAAGTCTTCAAGCACTTCCATTCTCCTAACACAGTATGACAAAGAAGAGTAAAGGATGCACATATGACATTCAGTGGCATGATGAAAAAAAAACTATCAGCATGCACTCCTGTAACTGATGTTTCCTCCATTCAACAATTTTTAATCCCTATTACAGATCTGTACAATGTTGCCCAGTAAAATAAGCTCAGCTGAAGACACAGCTAACAAGTACAGAAGCAGATAATTCAACTTGCTTTTACCTGAGATGCAGGCTATGTTCTTAAAGCCAACCGTTTCAAGTTTTGGTTTCATAATTTGCAGCAATTCAGGTAGCTGAATTTTTAAAAAGATACATTAGAATACATTTTCTCAAGATCTACATTAAAGAGAGAATTGTTTGTGTTGAATTGCAGAGTTTAATTTACTGCCAAATAAATGAAAAAATGCAGATTCAAGCAAGCACAAGTTATACATAAGAATGAAGGATTCTGCATTCAGTGACCCTATGCTATCGCAGCCCTCCAAGCATTTAATTAATCTTGAACAGAAGTTACTCTCAAACAAAACCTATCATGTTAAAGTCTTGAAACGAAATGTGAATAGTTAAATCCTGTGGTAGTCCAAAAGGCTAGGTAACTTATGTTTGCCAAATGAACTTCTCACATCCCCCACCCCTAAAAACACACAGCAGCAATTTACTTGTTAAGGAAGAGATGCAGAGTATAATGCAAGGGTGAAAAGTACATCCTTTCTATGACATCTTGCTTTCACTGCCTCTTTGCGCCTAATTCTCTTCAGCTTCTCTTCAGTGACGACAGAAGACAGCCTCCCTAAATGTATTTTGCCACTACTAGCAAAGGCTCAAGGACTATGCTGCTTTCAGCATTAGCAACCAATATTCATATAAGCATTCATATATTTACAGCCTTTATGTTGGATCTGAACAGTATCCATTGTAATATGTAGACTGTCCCCAAGACTGGAAACTGCTGTAACTGTACTACAGCTATGGCTTTGTTTTATTTTTTTTAATTGCAATTCATCTTCATAGGGTCAGAGGCAGAATATTGGGTTCAAAGGCCCTTAATCCTGTGACATGTAATCCTTGAGATCAAATCAATACAATGTACTAACCCATTCCTGAAGTTTATCCAGATCTGCAGCAACAAGAACTAGTTGAGCAGTGGATATGGAAGGCAAAGGCTGTGCTTCTGGAGAAGAGTCCAGTCCTTGGTCCTCAACAGGGCTTGGGTTCAGGGGGGGTTCCTTGCTAATGCTTGCCAAGGATTTTTTATTGTCCTTTGTTCTTTCGTTGGAGACAGGCCTGAGAAGAAGCTAGACAAACCGCCCAGAATAACATTACACTTGGACTTGTTACATCAGATTTAGATAACTTCACAAAAAGTAGAAAGCCTGAGAGAATATGAGATAAAAAAGTAACTTGTGGCTTTCCTCACCTCACTGATAAAAAAAGAGTAGCGTGCTATGACCTGCAGGGAAAGCTTCCATAGGCGGTGGGTTAGCAATGGTAGGAACATTTGATCTGACCAACATTTCTGCAGACTTGACCACGCCATGTGTGTAGCCAGGAGGCAATATGGACTTTCAGCTGAAAGAAAGGAAGAGGAGTGGATAAGCCATGAACTCTGATTGTACTTCAATACACAATTCCATATTAGTTATTTCAAAGTTATACTGATAAGAACATAAGAGAAGCCTATGCTGGATCAGGCCAATGGCCCATCCAGTCCAATACTCTGTCACACAGTGGCCAAAACTACCATCAGGAGGTCCAGCAGTGGGGCCAGGACACTAGAAGCCCTCCCACTATTTACACCCCCCCCCAAAGCACCAAGAATACAGAGCATCACTTGTCCCAGGCTGAGAGTTCCTATCTATACCTTGTGGCTAATAGCCACTGATGGACTTCTGCTCCATATGTCTATCCAATTCCCTCTTGAAGCTGCCCATGCTTGTAGCCACCACCACCTCCTGTGGCAGTGAATTCCATGTGTTACTCACTCTTTGTATAGAAAGCGTTATCAGCTATGGTCTTAGGTCGATTTGCTTTAGGCATCCATATCGTGTCTGGAAGTGAGAAGGGACATACATAGGCTTGCTCAATGTGGCACCAACTTGTAGCTTGATCGTTCTGAAGCATTTTTATTATGTTTGTCAGCATTGCCACGTGATGGTATCTGTGGAGTGAGGGAATTCCCAGGCCTCCCATGGAGCTTGGTCTGGTGAGGTGTCTGTGGTCCACCCTTGATTTCATTGAGTTCCACAAGAAATTTGTCAGTGTACATTGCCATTTGGTAAATTCCTTATCTCCAATATGTATAGACCCTAAAAAGAAACAGAAAGCACGGGGGGGGGGGACTTTGTATCAGTTGCAGCCTGTCTGCTAAAGAGAGACGATTTTCATTCTACTCCCGTATTTTTCCTTGGATATCCTTCTGCCATGTTGACGCCCACTTGCCCATCCTTGACAGATCCCTTTGGAGTGCCTCACAATCCTCCCTCATTCTCACCACCCTGAACAATTTAGTGTCATCTGCAAAGTTAGCCACTTCACTGCTTACTCCCAACTCCAAATAATTAATAAACAAGTTAAAAAGCATCGGACCGAGTACTGATCCCTGTGGTACCTCACTGCTTACCACCCTCCACTGAGAAAATTGCCCATTTATACTCACTCTCGGTTTCCTGTTAATTAGCCAGTTTTTGATCCACAAGAAGACTTATCCTTTTATCCCGTGACTATTGAGCTTCCTTAGGAGCCTTTGATAAGGAACTTTATCAAAAGCTTTCTGGACGTCAAGGTGAACAACATCTATTGGGTCCCCCTTGTCCACATGTTTGTTCACCCCCTCAAAGAACACTAACAGGTTAGTGAGACAAGATCTTTCCTTACAGAACCCATGCTGAGTCTGCCTCAATAGTTTTTGTTCATCAATGTGCCTATTAATTCTCTCCTTAATAACGGTTTCCACCAACTTACCTGGTATTGACGTCAGACCGACTGGCCTGTAATTTCCCGGATCTCCTCTGGAACCCTTTTTAAAGATGGGGGTGACATTAGCTACCTTCCAGTCCTCAGGAATGGAGTCAGATTTTAATGAAAGATTACATATTTTTGTCAGGAGATCCACAAGTCCACATTTGAGTTCTTTCAGAACTGCTGGATGTATGCCCTCCGGGCCTGGTGATTTATCCGTTTCTAAGTTGTCTATCAGTTGTAGGACCTCCTCTCTCGTCACCTCAATCTGACTCAGAACTTTCAACACCCCTCCCCAAATCAGCTAGGAACGATGCATTACCAACATATGAATGAACACTTTTTAGCTTTTATTTTATTTCCAATCCACAAGTGCTATGCAGCCTCTGTACATTTCAACAGGGTTTAAACATAAACATTCTGCAAACCGCAGTAAAACTCAACCTAGTCATTTAGTTGCGATATTTGATGGACTGTGTGCCCAACAGCTCCTAGGGAACCTCGTGTGCTGCTGACAGACAAACTCACCAGCTACTACTAAAGGTTACATTCTGAGGAAAAGGATCTAGTGGCCACCTTCTGTCCAAGTTAAGAACTGCACATAAGAATCAGGCACAGCCTATGTAACTTCTGGACAGCAGAGCCCTGACTGCTGAGGGAGGGAAGAAAAAAGGAGGTAGCTGTTTCCTTTGTAACTGATTAGTATCCTTAAGGAGGATTGCCTCTCACTATAAAAACATCAACAGGGACACAAAGGATATTTTTTCACATTTCATTCATATAGTACTTTGTATGCAAACAATGATCCCTCCAGTCATATTCCATTAACTGAAAATAGTACCTCAACCGTTAAGTTTCTGTATGAAAGCAACAATCTCTTCTCTTTGAGACAACATGTTTGATCTTCTCATTTTTATTCATGTGTTTATTTGTTTCCCACCCTTCTTCCAATGAGCTGACATACATGGTCTCCATGGCCCAGGTCATCTAGAGCGCTTCATGGAGAGTGGGGATTTGAACTCAAGACTCTCTAGCGCTAGCTTGATAGTCTAACCACTTCACCACACTAGGACCTACAGCACTTTGTCTTAATGAATCTCCATACTCATTAATTTCTCACTCACTCAGAGGCACCCAAACCTCTGAATACCAATGCTAGGAGGCAGTAGCCTCTATACTCTGATGGCCCTCCAAGGCAACTTGTCAGCTGCTGTGTGAAAAAGATTGCTGGACCAGATGGACCACTGGTCTGATCCAACTCTTCTTATGGTCTCACTGCATAATCAAGAGGCAGAGCAGCACCCAGCCAATCCCTGCTTGGCCCTCAGGGCATAAAAGACTTCTCATCCTGGGAGGAGGGACTAAGACAGGGACAAATATACTGAGAAGAGTTGCAAGAGAGAGAAAATACACTGCCTTGAGGACTTTATAGTCACAAAGCAGGATATAAATAAAGTCTTCTTATAGCATACCTGAAGCAAGCAAAGTCCCACTACTAATGCTAGATTATTGTGCAGACCTTTAATTGTATGCAAATGGAAACTGAACATTTGACATTCGTTATGAAAAAAACTTAAATGCATTAAGGTACTGAACCTAATTACAACAAAAGGAAACTTTACCTGGAGCATCTTCTAACCCATTGGAGAGGGCTGCTTCTAAGGTTCCCCCTACTTCTCTAAACCTGGGGGAGAAAAAAACAAATCTCTTTAAGAGTCAAGGAAAAAGTACTAATTAAAGTTTGCGTTTGGCAGCTCAGTGCTACAAGCTGTGGAACACATCCCGCAAATACTGTTCAAACTGAAGTACCACAGCAGTCTCTATAGTAGAAAGACTACACAATACATACACATGTTACAAGCAATGTCTTTTACACCTCTGATCACAGCATGCTGTGACTGGACTGCACTTTTAAAGTTTATAAGTGCTGTGTAAACAGATAAAGGATGGTGAAGGGTTAATTTGTCACAGAGCTAGACAGCTTTGAGTGACAGGCTACTCCAAGAGATCTGATTAGTTAGCATCAGCTGAGCAGAGAAAAACTTCTGAACTGGATGGTGAGGAGAATTCAGTCTGATTTCTGCCCTAGCTGAGAAAAGTTGAGTACTGACAGTTTCAGAATTCAGCCCTAGCTGAGAGCAGTTTAACACAGACTGGAGAACTGTAGAAAGCTGGCAAGGACAAGTGGGTAGTTAGAGACTCCCATTCATGCCAAGGAAAGGGGATAGATCTTCTAGAGAGAGAAGAAAATTCTCTACCCAGGCAAAAAGGGAGTTACCTCTGAAGAGTGCAGAGATCCCTGGTCTGGTGTGGTTAGGAACTGCCTGTAGACACCTTAAGAGTCAGTTAGAAACTCAAGACGAGTACTGGTGTTTCAAGAGAAGGGGTTTGGGAACTCATTAGCATAACAGGCCACACAGCAGAAACTCATTAGCATATTAGGCCACACCCCTGACAGCACAGCTCATTATCTTATTAGGCCACACCCCCATGCCTTCCTTTGGCTTGCCCGGGCACCCCCAGGCCAGGGAAGGCACGGGGAGGCATTTAAATGCCTCCCCAATCCTTCCAGGGGGCCCCAGTCCCCTACCTCAGAGTCACCAGGGGGTCACTCTCCAGGCCTTCCCTCTGTAGCCATGCACACAGAGGTTTGGCTGTAGTGGGCATGGCCAACTCTGAAGCCAGCCGGAACTCCGTTCCTGTGCGTTCCTGCCCAAAAATAGCCCTGGAAAGGAACTGCGGTGGCTCAAGTGGTTAAGACGCTGAACTGCAGGCTGTGGAAGGTCAGTAGTTCAGCAGTTCGAGACCTGGGTTGCCGCATGACGGAGTGAGCTCCTGTCTCTAGTTCCAGCTCCTGCCAACCTAGCAGTTTGAAAGCGAGAAATTGCAAGTAGATAAATAGGTACCGCTTCGGTGGGAAGGTAACAGCGTTCCGTGCGCCTTGGTGTTTAGTCATGCCGGCCACATGACCACGGAAACGTCTTCGGACAGCGCTGGCTCTTCGGCTTTGAAACGGAGATGAGCACCGCAACCCTAGAGTCGGACTCGACTGGCTTTCGAGCAAGGGAACCTTTACCTTTTACTGGAAAGAGTATACCTGCCTTCTGGAAACCAAAAGTCAGAGAATACTCAAAGAAAGTGTGCTGGAGTGTTTGAAAAACACTGGAACAAAAAGCCTCTCAACATTTAGATTTTAAATAATTCTAATAGCTTAAGAAACTCTCATTAGTCTGTGCACGTATGGATTTTACCTCAGAATTATCTATATTGAGTTACCACAGAAATTTCAACCCCTGATTTCACCTGACCCTTCCCCTCTATGTTAAATAAAATATTTTGTTATGTTTGAATTTCAAAACTCCTTGAGTGCCATTTAAGTTATTTAAGTTAAAGGGGCTCCCAATCCTTCCCTCAGGTTTCTGGGCTGAGCCAAGAGCCAAAATATTGTACTGTGACAGGGTGGGACAGTCAGAGCTCTTCAGCAAAGAATAAAACACATTGATTTGATTTATTTGATTTATATCCTGCCCTCCCTGCCGAGGCGGGCTCAGGGCAGCTTACAAGCAATTCAAAATAGTTAGATACAGTAAAATAAAATAAAACCTAGTATAAACTTATAATTTACATTAAGATAACAGAATTAAAAACAGATACATAAAACGCTGGAACACACCCAAGCACCAAGAGGAGCAGTTCTTATAAACATGGTTTAGGTGACTTTTAGATGTTCCATATATCCCACACGTACAGTTCGTCATTTATTATGCGGTGAGCACAGGTCAGAGTTTCGATGGCAGGACCCAGGTTACAGGCTGGAAAGCCAGGGCACAGTGACATTCCCGGTGTGTACTGCGGCTCCTTAATCGAATGCCTAGTGAAAGAGCTCCGTCTTGCAGGCCCTGCGGAACTTCAAAAGGTCCCGCAGGGCCCTGGTCTCTATCGGGAGCTTGTTCCACCAGGATGGGGCCGCCACCAAGAAAGCCCTAGCCCTGGTTGCCGCCAGTCTGACATCCCTAGGGCCTGGGAGGGCTAACCAGTTTTGTGCCCCTGAACGCACTGCTCTCTGGGAAACATGTGGGGAAAGCTGGTCCCTCAGGTATGCCGGACCCTGCCCATATAGGGCTTTAAGATTAAAACCAGCACCCTGAAACAAATCCAGTATGCTATTGGAAGCCAGTGTAGTGCTTTCAGTACTGGCTGGATGTGCTCCTGTATGGGGAGACCCAGCAGCAGCCTGGCCGCCGCATTCTGCACTAACCGCAGCTTCCAGATTTGAGACAAGGGCAGCCCCATATAGAGAGTGTTACAGTAGTCCAATCTCAAGGTGACCATCGCATGGATCACTGTCGCCAAGTCATCACGTTTGAGGAAGGGAACCAACTGCCTAATCAGCCGAAGATGGTAAAAAGCTGATCTGGCCGTGGCTGCTACTTGGGCCTCCATTGTTAAGGAGGCATCCAAGGGCACTCCCAAGCTCCTAACCTCTGGCGCTGGATTCGTTGGATTCAATTTCATTTGACTCCATCTAAGCCATCCAGCCACCACCTGCAGCGTCTGGTCCAGATCTTCTGGTGTGGAGTAAGACTGGCCGCCCAACAACAGATAGAGCTGGGTGTCATCTGCGTACTGGTGACATCCAAGCTCATGCCTTCGGGCAATCTGGGCAAGGGGGCGCATATAGATGTTAAACAACATCGGGGAGAGTACCGTCTCTTGGGGCACGCCACACAACAGTGGATGGCTTTGGGATAGCCGCTCCTCTAGTGCCACCCTTTGTCCCCGGTCCTGGATAAAAGATGTAAGGTGAGCCCCTGAACTCCGGTGTCGGCGAGACGGTGGATCAGTAGCTGATGGTCGACCGTGTCGAACGCTGCTGACAGGTCCAACAACAACAGCACTTCCTATCTGCCTCGATCCAGACTACTAGGGTAGCTCAGTCAGAAAAAGGAAAGAAAAATGGAGGGAAAATCTTGCCTCTGAGGTAGGGAAGTGGATGGAGACATCATACATGCCAAGTCCCATTTTGTGGGCAGGTGGGTTTGGAACACAAAAATGGCAGTCACATTACATGAGGCTATTGGGGTGAGAATCCTAATGGAGTTGGAACCAGGGTACTTGAAGGACTGCTTCCTTCTGTATTATCCAGCCTGCCAGTTAAGCTCTGTCTTACAAGACCTGCTCTCTGTGCCCACACCCTCAGAGATGAGATGGGTGGTAAAAAAGAAAGGGCTTTTCTAGTAGTGGCACTTCACTTGTGGAATAAGAATATAAGAGAATCCACGTTGGATCAGGCCAATAGCCTATTCAGTCCAACACTCTGTGTCACACAGTGGCCAAAAAGTAGGTGCCATCAGGAGGTCCACCAGTGGGGTCGGAACTCCAGAAGCCCTCCCCCTGGTGCCCCCCTGACATAGTGTTCCATCTATACTTTGTGACTAATGAATCTCTGCTCCATATATTTATCCAATCCCCTCTTGAAGCTGTCTATGCTTGTAGACACCACCACTTCCTGTGGCAGTGAGTTCCATGTGTTAATTATGCCCTTCCCCAGGAGGCTTACCTCGTGCCTTCCTTGCTTTCATTTAGGCACCAAGTCAAAATGTTTCTGTTCAGCTGGGCTTTTAATAAAGGGTTTTTTTTTTATTTTAACCCCTTGTAAGCCTGAATGTTGTTTTAAGCTGCCAGTTTTTATGCTGGGCTGGGGCTTTTTTAATGCTGGATTTTAATTAATATCTTTTAACAATTTGTTTTACTGTTTTTATTTTGTAAGCTCCCTCTGGCAGGTTCCTGGAGAGGCAGCATAAAAATGTTCTAAATAAATATATGTTATAGAACCAGGAGAGGCTGATGGGCCATGTCTCAAACTACTGGCAGTGAGGCAACTTACAGGAGCACCCCCAAAAGACTGTAGCATTACTCCACTTATAAGGCCAATGATCAATGGCCACACATCCAATGAAACTCCTGGTACAGCATGCTGGTTCCCATACCATCAAGACTAAACTGAAGGGTGGTAGACTGCAGCACATGGAAAATAAAAGACATCCAATGTGGCAGGATGGGGCTGGTAGACAGTAAGCAGCGCGTATTGGGGGGGGGGGTCTGACCTTTGACACTGCCGCTAAGGTTCTGGCAAAGGTTTGACACATGGAAAATGAATCATAAGTATTCCTGGTCTCTCTAGTCTGCATCAGAACTCTGTATATCTTCTTAAAAGTATTCAGGCTTTGCAAATCGTAAACAAATTTATGTTGCAAAGGGGGAAACGCAGTGTGGATAAGTCCTAATTCTTACGGATACCCCTAATATCTCAGTCCCCTTTAAAATGAGTTTTTGTTGCACACTAAAGAAAAAGAGATGTGGAAACAAAAGTCAGAGACGGACCCTAGTTCTCAGATTTGCTTTACATGACCTACGGCTAGGTCTCATGACCGTGGCACCAACTCTTTCCTACATGTTTGCTAATGGACACCGGCACAAGGTTCTGCAAACAGTTCTAGGGGATAAAAATCAATAGTTCTTTCTGATACCTTGAACATTTCTATTTAAAAAGATAAAACTCCATATGCTACTATCACAACCTGCCAAGATTTTAAAGATAGAGTTCATCAACATAAGAACCTTATAAGTTACTACCACTTTCTCTGTAGGAACACCACAGAAGGCAAAAGTGTCTACACGTAACGTCTGTCTCGAACTTTGCACTTTGGTATAATAAAAGTAAGAAAGCTTGGTTACCAAAATATTAATTTTGTTATTCACCTATTCTTCTGCTAGTACTGCTTCATCATGTTTAATTAAGCTCTCTGCAGCCTGATAATGTTGTATGTAGAAACAGCAACATAGATGATAGGCATTATATCCTCTTTTCAATGGAATATCCAGATGTCAGATAAGACAGGTCATTCATTATATTAATAGCCTATCACTACATCTGATTATAGATGTAACATTTCAAGAAATTTTGAAGACAGCAGGAAAAAAACAGAAACTTATAACTTGGGTAACATATACAATTGTACAATTTTGCATATTTACAAAATTTAAGAGTCTAAACCAGAGGTGTCAAACTCATTTGTTATGAGGGCCGGATCTGACATAAATATCACTTTGTCAGGCCGGGCCACATGTGCCATAAAATGTAACACAAGGTACTGGAAATATAAACTTTATAAAGATGATTTCAGATGCCGAATGGCAATAGCAGACATGATTGGATTAGGTGTGATATGCAGAGGGGTGGAGATATCAGCATTGGTGTGATATACAGAGGTGTGGAGATATCAGCATTGGTAACGAGACAGGAAACCTAAGTCTCAATTTGGTCCAGGAGGATTTGGTCCAGGAGGACGCAAAGAATAAGTGGAAAGTCTGAAGAAGTGAGCAGTGACTCACAGCATCTCTCGCAATGGCAAAAAGCCATGCCAGGTGCCCAGCAGCCAACAACACAGATGCTGCCAGCCCCTCCATCCATTGCTGCCCCCTGGCAAAGGCTTCTCACCATTCGTGACGACTCTCCACCTGTTCCCACTCGACTGCAGCCCACATGGAGGAAAGGGTGGGAGGGAAGGGCTGTGGAGGTGTGATCCTTGCAGAGAGGTCATGGGGCTGTTGTGGGAAGACTCTGGCTTTGGAGACAGGGACATGGTGGAGTTGCCATCCCCCATGGGGGTAGGGGTTGTTGCCTGGCTGCTCTGGCTGCTACTGCATCCTCGGCCCTCCTCACTGCCCTCGGAGGATGGCCCCACAGCAGCATCCCCATGTATGGCAAAACTTAACCCCCATAGTTGGGGGCAGGTGTCAGCTGAGACGATGGCACTCACCACACAGAACCTCGATGCCACAGCCACCCACCATGGGGAGACCACCAGCTGCATGATGACCTCTAGTCCCCACAGACCCTCCTCCACTGCCCACTCATAAGGTACACCTTTGGCCATGAAGGCTTGGACATGCCACCTTCGTGATCCCACCACCTTCGTGACCACTGTTCCATTTTTTCCACAGGGCTAGGTCTGGCGCAACCAGGATGGCGCCCCCTCCTGTCCTTACCTCCCATACTCGGAGTGTGGCACGTTTCCTTACTGTCTGTACTCAACATCTGGGTGGCACAGTGATGGTGGAGGAGGCGCTGTGCCCACTGGTGCCAGGATTGCATCAGCACCCTCCGTCTTTTGGAAAACACTGGCCTTCGTCGAGGAGTCCAGCCCAGCCCTCCAAGCCCAAGCTTCCACTCCCCATGCCACCCCCGTCTTGCAGAAAATCCTGCTCTCCCCGAGGTTCCTGGCCACCAGATCCTTTCAGGGAGTTCTTGCTGAGGTGCTCGAGGTGTTGCAATCCTCTGCCGATGCCTATATGGCTTTCTGGATGTCATGCTGGCCCACCCTCCAGAAGCATGTGTGCTTCCCTACTGAGTAGGTGGACCTTATGCCCATCAGGACAGGGTTTGTATCATTTGGTGTCTTCCCCAATGTGGTGGGGGTTTGCACCTGTTAAAGCATCCTCATTATGTTGTATGCTAATTCAACCTCTACTTATAAGAATGAACTGTTACCTTCCATTTCAATGTATCTGAAGAAGTGTGCATGCACACAAAAGCTCATACTTTGAATAAAACTTTGTTGGTCTTACAAGGTGCCACCGAACTCGGACTTTGTTTCTGAAGATTGGAAGCAGCCCTGGTGTTTTATACCATTTTTAAAAATTTTGCTTTATCCTGCTGTTTTATTTATACAAAGATACCCTGCATATCTTCTGCTTTTAATTCCAATTTTATAGACCAGTTTACTGTTTTCATAGCAATGATTTTATCTGTTTTACTGTAAGCTGCTCTGGACACTTCTTTTGGAATAGAGGGGTGGGATAACAAATTTGCAAGGCAAACAAGATCTTTCCTTATTGCTTGAAGGCTCATATGTGGTACAAAAGCTTTGGTAAGATTTACTGACTGATTGATTTGACTTTTACCCTGCTCTCCCCGCCAAAGGCGGGCTCAGGGCAGCTCCCATAAAACTAATAAAACAATATAATCTTATAAAATAAGTGAAGCAACTAGATTGGAAAAATACCTGCTGCCCTCATCACCAGACCCTTGGGACAGCACGCAATCTATTTAAAAACAGTGCAAGTAAAATACATGTCTTTTCACAATTTAACATTTATCAGTTACTCCCTCAAATTACAAAGGGTAGAGAATAGCAATAAAAGGCACTGTAATTATTAAACCACCAACTAACCCATACCAGGAAAGTATTTCTGTTCAGTTGACATTTTCTTTCATGTTAAGAAACTGACAAAGTAAACAATTGCACAGGGGCAGAAGATGCAGGAGATTTGAAAACTGGTCTATGCCAGTCCTAGGCAATCTTATCAACAGTTAGATAGTGAGGGACAGGTTCAGTGCACCTAAAAAAGATTATCTTTGGCTGCTTTATGGGTTGTTTGGATGCAAAACAAGCTGCACGAACATGCCACACGCCATGATACTACAGGGCATTTCTGCCATCTTTCATTTCATTTCTTTGCTAGACTTTCACAAGGAAGTTAGCAAGCACCTTTGTTTGAACACCTCTGTCTAGTCTACATGAAATTTTATAATTCTGGCAAACGGAGCCCTCTTTACATAAACACTGACCTGATTTGGAAATAAACGGGAAGGTTCCATTTATCATTAAAGCTGTGGTACGACGGATGTGACCTCAGTCTTTTCACGCTGGCTTGTGAGCCACACTGCCGTTCAAATTTCCTTACAAAATCCATGCTTTTAGTGTATTTCTGTAGATGGAAAGCACATATTAATTCCATTCTCTTTCAACAAAATAACATAGTGCCATCCCTCACTGTCATCCTCAGAAATACATAACAGCAGAGATCTAGTTAATTACTGATGTAGAAGATTCATTCAGTTCTGTTCATCTTAAAAGAAAAAATATCACTCACTTCAGAAGCATTCCAGTTCCACTCTTATTATGTCTTCCACCCTAACAATCCAACATGATGTATATTAAAAGAAAGTCCCATCCACGGAGTTAAAAGTAAAATGGAAGTAAGGAAGATGAATCTGGGGGTCAGCAGAGCAATTTGATTAGGAAAGAAGGCCTGCATTGTTAGCAATCAGACCCCTCCTCTTGCAGAAGGAGCAGTTTGGTGTTCAGAGAGAGAGACACACACAAACACCCTTCATACAATATCACTCCAAATATCATAAATATGACACACTGTCTGGCCCAGAAGTGACACAAAATGGATGCCAGTCAGATGACCAGCCTGGGAAAATATATTTGGAAGTGAGTAAGGTGGCTGGCTAACTAACGACCCTTTCCCACATCCTGAGGAGATGCATAATTAAGGACAAAAAAATCTCCCCAAGAACACCTGGCCTCACCTTGAACTAATCTGTCACATGCCCAGCCTTACCTCTCCCTCAATCATTTACCTTAATAGAACGATGCTTAAAATTTACCCAAACCTGGTAGCTTCTTCTGTCTGGCAATCAAGGGTCATCAAGTCAACATTAACATCTATAGTTACACCCTGGTAAAACCATCTAGCCTCTCCCAAGGCATTGTTTGAACCCCGGTAAACTCATCAAAATTATTGTTCAGAATAGCCATTAAGCATTATTCGGGGGGCAAGCACTCCAGCATAGCCCCAGGGAACATTTTCCCCATATCAAGCACATCCAGACCCCAGTCTCTCTATGTGTGTTCTGGATCTGGCCTCACTTCCTTCCTTCACCATGAAACGCTGGCCATTTTGCCGCCTTCCATGGATCTCAATCTTTTAGCCTGGTAAATATCGCCTTTCTGAATCTCTTTCTCCCCGTTCATCCCTGTTTTTCTCAGTTAGCCTTGTATGTGAGTATTTTTTTGTGTGCATGCTTTTGCTCTTTTATTGTTTTCAATAAAAACCTTGCCAGGTGAACATCTGCCTGGTTTATTTTGAGTTTTCTAAGGGAATAATCCCTGTAAACATTGGTGGGGATCCCCTAGTTACCCCTTCTCACTCTGTCTCCTTAACTCCAATTCCCGTAATCAAACAGGAGACTGCCCCTTTGGGTAACAGCATGTGCTTGTCTATAATTACTTGTGGAGTCTGTCTCTCTCATCTGAATTTATTTTTTTTGCTGTATAGTTTTCCATTCTTGCACACCTTAGTGTGGATATCTTTGCAAGAATCTGATAGAGATGTATTTTTAATTAATCAAATTAGAATTTTTACAATCATTACAGTAAGGAGTTCATAAGGCCTCGTATTGCAGCTAACCAAATGCTGCTTACTTAGGACTGCTTCACATGCTGCCATATAAACACTTTAATTTCCATCAATATTAATCTCTGCATAGGAAATTGCAAGCCATGATGCAGACCTCAGCTGTTGAATTTAAGAACTCTTTATTAAAGTTACATTTTCCTACAGGACTATCTAGCTATGGTTCACCATGCAAAAGCTATAGCTAATGTACATATTTAATTACCTCATGAAACACATCAGGGTTGCCAGGATTAAACAATGAAGGCAGCTTTTCTTCCAAGCCACGAACTATTTCAGGCCACACAGAATTGACCAAAAAATCATAACCAGGAACAGTATTTCCCTTTTCACTGCAAGATAAAAATTGAAACTTCTCCTAGAAATGCTTATTAAAAATAAATAAGGATTTCTTGTAAATGTTTATGGAGTGACAGTAAAGATACTAAAATGTTTCACAATATGTAAAGCTGTCAATTTTATAGCACAGCATCTTAAAACTAGGAATACTTCTAACAGTTGTACATACTATTTTACCATTCGGATCGTTTTAATATTTGTGACACTTGGCTGTTATCACTGTAGTCATACCAATTAGCCATGTGCTTCTATGTATATAAGCATTTCAAGTGTGTGTACGTATGCGTGTGAAGTCCCATCAAGTCACTTCAGACTTATGACAACCCTATGAATTGTCCTATTGTTCCAAATGTCTCCAAAATGTCCTATCGTTAGTAGCCATTCTCAGGTCTTGCAAACTGAGGGCCTTGGCTTCTTTTATTGAGTCAAACCATCTCATGCTGAGCCTCTTTTCCTCCCACCTTCAGCCTTTCCTAGCACTGTTGTCTTTTCCAGTGACTCTTATCTTCCCATAATGTGACCAAAGTATGATAACCTCAGTTTAGTCATTTTGGCTTCAAGAGAGAGTTCAGGGTTGTTACTTTCAGATAATTTTTTTTAAAATCCAGAACTATAGATACAGAAAATAACTTTTAATAGAAACTAATTTCCTTTTGCTCCAGACATAAACTCAGTCCTGAGCGGAAACTTGGAACCAAACTAAATGTGCAATGGAGCACCCACATTTCATGTATCTTGTCCGTAAATGGGTAGATGGGTTTCTAATTTTAATATCAAAATGCAAGCATGGCTGAATTTGTCCCTCCTCATCTTCCACTATTCCTACAGCATAGCTCTGAGGTGAGCTGGGCAAAAGGTACAAAGATTCATTTCCCCTCAACTGCAAGATCCTTTTAACCTGTGCCCCGCTCTGCTTTACATGTGGCAGATTTGTGAAAACTACACATGGTTACCTCATCAATCTCAGTTGGGTCTAAAATGGTTTTAATTTCTAAATGTAATTGGTATCAAACATATGGAAATTTTTCTTGTATGTGCCAATTCAGAAATCTGGGGGGGTGAGAAAAAGAAATCCCTCATAGTTCTTATTTATCACACATCAACAAATATTAACAGTTTTCATTGGTTAAAGAACAGGATTAAAACCTGTTGAGGGATTAAGAGAACTGAAATACTAGCAAAATATAAAGTCACATCAAAAGTGCTGCAGTGCCTTGCTAATTAGAAAAGTATTTATGCAGCCTCTAAAGCTAAATCCCAGGCACCAGTAATTGCAGTAGGGTACGGTGTTAACTGGCCTGTTAAGAAAGAAACAAATGGATTCAATTTAGATGACCTAAATTCAAATCAGGCAATTTAATTGCAATATGAATCATCTGCTCAGTTGAGAAGATAATACAAAGTAGAATGCAAATCAAATGTGTAGTTCAACTGTTAGGAAAACCTAATATTTTACACCTTTTTGTTTTTGTAGATAAAGTACATTGTTTAATACCAAATATTATTTAATACTTAACTAATGTTTAATACCTAACATTCCTTGGGAATTTATATTTTAAAGGGGAGCACACACAACATCTTTTATAAAGTACAACAGTTAGTAAGCAAGCATTTTTGCAAATATACTTAAAGACAAGTTCAAAATGAGAAATAATATGCATAATACTATGTATATAGTCCCTGATGGCTTCCTGGGTTTTTTTTGCCTTCAGTCTACTGAGCCAGAGAAACAGCAGTAGCATACCATGGGTGAGGCAGATAAGACTGTATACTGGATTCTATATCTATGACTCATGTTTCAGTTCAGAAGTTCTACAAGCTCCTGTCGCCTGTGGCACTGTGCCACCTTTAAAAGTCTGTGTTATGACTCCAGCATAATGAGAGCTACAAATTCTCAGCAATTTTACCAAGGAAATACTATAGGGTTGCCAAGTGACTCACCAAAATAAGCGGGGGAGAGTTGGTCCCATTCCAGGACATTTGTGCATGCCTGAAAACTCTATGGTACCACAGAGTTTTCAGGGTGATTGCTAGAGCATCACCTGGCAACGTGCCCAGTGTAATGACATCACTTCTGGGCGACGTCATCACACCGGGCACGTCAGTCCGATCTGGCCACTTAGGGGGTGGGGTTCTCCCCGCCGACCGGACCCAGACCAGTGGATTGGGGGCCCTTTTAGCAGGGGAATCCCCGCCCCCTGGGGGGACTTGGCAGCCCTAGAATACAATAAATTAGTAAGGAAGCAATCTTATAATTTGGGGTGTGTGTTTTTCATAGCAGTAATGATAGGATTAATGCATCTTTGGCAATACCTAAACTTACTTGATATCGCATTCTTGATGAATAAATTATGGGATCTGGTGCTGCTAGAAAAAAATACTCCCTTAATTTACTTCCTTTTCAATAAGAATAGCAAGTTCTTTTATTGATTTTTATTGCCACGATATGGTGTTGCTAATTCTACAATGCAGGTGGAAAAGATATTTGGACTAATTTGGATTTAGGATTTCTTATAACTTTAACAATGGATACATTTTCAATCAAAGTTATTCTCAGCAGATCATAGCAGTAATATTTTCTACTGTAGGATGTTTGATTTATTGAGATCCCACCACTACTATCAGGAATCTTACACGCATCACTATTAAACAACTAACATAGCTGTTCACAAAATTTACTAAAAACTTTTTTGTGTTACCTTGAGATACCTCCCCCTGTTACTTCACGCAAGAGACGGCAATGGAGAGGAACAAACTCTAGCAATTTATTGTACATTGTTTGAAGGCCATTAGGATGAGACTGTACACACTGCTCCACAATCACCTGTCAAAGAATATTCAGAATCAAACTCAAGCAGTGTGCAAGAAAAGAATTTAAATGTAAACCCTACCCTCAAGGCACCATCACATGCAGTGTTCAAAATTGTGCTCCTTAGCTTTATAGGAGACCCCCACGCCTAAATTTATTTATTGTAGTTATATCCCACCTTACATCCGTGGAACTCAGATGGAGAGTGAAATGTAATTAAATGTAATTAAATAAAGTGCCCACTGGACCCAGACAGCCTTAGCTTCAATAAGACTACTGTACCATGTGCTTTCAGACAACTTGTACGCATACATTTCCTCTCTTAGCAATGTTGTGAACCAATTCCGGTAGCATGTATGTGCTTTTAAATCCAGCTGCAACTGTTAAGTGGCTTGTTCTCTGCTATACTGTAGCTGATCTGCTATTATTTGATCATTTTTTCATAAGCCAGAAAGGTCAGGTACCTTTATGAGAACACAAACTATTTCCACAATAATTATTTACCTCATCTATGTAGGGTTTCACAAGCACCTGGCCAACTAATGCTTCAGCATCCCGCGTTTTGTCTATTGTTGCATAGGTTCGCAAACAGTGGCGTATTATGTCAACGTTGGAACTCTGAAGGCCTTCTAAAAGCAACCCTTCCAGCGACTGCTGCAACATAGCTGTTATCCCAGCTATACGCTATGGTGTTCAAAAGGAATGAAACCGTTAGCTACAAAAGCAGAATTGGCAAGATCCATTAATATTATCACAGTATTTAATTATTATTTAAGTGCTGCATGAGAACAACATTGGAAGACATAGCGTACCAGAAATTCAGAAATTCAAGCTATTTTCTGTATATCTGGGCTGTTCCTGTATAAGTCTTTACAATTAAATGACAGGGCTGCATCCAACCAGGACTCAAAGGACTTCCTTGACTCTCCTCTTCCACTGCAGCATATGCTGCCCCCAGGATTTAGGGCATCCCCAGAAACAGTGTCCAGCATGAAGTGGGAGGAGTGTTGCCTCCACCCAGCACAAGTGTTTGGTGCAAGCAAAATAACTACTGGATAGACCCCATTGCTTTTAATAAAATGCAGTCAAAATAAAGATTTTACTACATATTTTGAAAAGTCTCATATGTAAAGATTATTGGGCCTAAGCTATATGAAAAATGGTAACAATCTCTAGCACTCTGTCCCTGAAAAAAAGGCACTTCGAAGCTCCTAACAGAAGTGATTAATCACTTCCAAGGATTACCACACTGGTAAAATTTAGTCTGCATATTAACAGGCTGACAAACAATACAATAACCCCTAAATCTGGGGTGTCAAACATGTGGCCCGGGGGCCACATCAGCCCCCCGGAGGGCTTCTATCAACCCCACAGTGGAACTGGCTGTCTTCTGCTTCTTCTTCCAGTTCTGCTGCTGCTGTGTCATCGTAAATTTGCAACTTACAGATAACACACCTGAACAGCATACTCAAGATTGCAACAGCACAGGCATTTTGATGCAGTAATTCAGAGCAAGAGGTGTCAGTTATCAGACACTGTTAAATAAAATATTGCAAGAGTGCTAATATTTTAAGCATGTTTATATTTTAAGCTAAAAAACCCCTTTGTGTTTGTGTCCTTTATAAAGTTTATATCTCTGTACCTGACATTACATTTTATGACACACATGGTCCAGCCCAACAAGGTCTCATTTATGTCAGATCCGGCCCTCATAACAAATGAGTTTGACACCACAGCCCTAAATAGTCAAAGGCAATGCTCCTATAGGAACAGCAACAACATGCATCTTGGTTAAGCTAGCTACAAACATATTATCTAAGAAAAAGAAACTTGCTGTATAGACTTAACCTTTCATCTATATATATAAAAGAAAGTCCCCCCACCATAAAATCAACGCCCAGGCCAAACTGCTGGACCCAGAGACACCAAATTTGGGGAGAGCGCTCCTCCCATGGCGTAGGTGCTCGCTAAGAAGGGATTTTTAGAAATTTGACCACTAAGTGGGGAAAATGTGCTCCCCCCATTGATTCCTATGAGGTGCTCAGAACAACACAGTCTCCATATGAGCAAAACAATCCAGGAACACAAGTAGAGAGGCTATCACTTTCGTGGAAGGTAGCAGGAGTTGACGTAACAGACTGCTTCTTAAATGGACAGTTCTATGTGGCCTGCTCCAGAGTGAGCTCATCAAGCAGCCTGGTGATCCTAGCAACTGAGGGCAGAACCACCAATGTGGTTTAGAGAGAGGTCCTTCACTAGAGGGGGGAAAAAGTACGTATGTCTCACTTCATTTCTTACACTACAATCTTCTCTGTTAGAATTCCTACAACAAATGTCACATTTCAAATTTTACATCATCAGTATTATAACAGGATTTGCGGAACTTAAATACCGTAGCGAAGCACGGGTAGCAGGCTAGTACCATATAATCTGAAAAGTGTTGCTCTTGATCATGTGAACAATAAAATGATTACAATGGTAATATTAAACCCAAAACCTGACAAAAGCAAAGGGGGGGGGCTATCTCAAAGAAAGAAAGTGGGTCCCCTGTACTGATGACAAATTCATTCAAAACATTTATTAGCCACCTTTCTACCAAGCAGAACTCAGGGCAGTTTACAATATAAATAAAACAACAACTATTAAAAACACAGAAAGACCACAATTATATTGCTGTAGCTCATGATGGCAAACAGTATTGGGCTTGAAGTATAAAGCCAAGCAAACAAATAATTTCAGAAGGAAGGCTGTTTATTACATAATGGAACAATATTTTTTTTATTTCCAAATTTGTACCCTGCCTTACTGTCCTTATAAGGGCCACCAAGGCAGCTAACAATTTAAAGTATACATGATAAGATACATTATAAAACCATTAATATAAACCACCCTCCCAAACATATCTCATTAAAACAATTTTTAAAAGAGTTAAGAAAAATAGAGTTAAAATACAAATAAAACAGAATACATACAAAACAAAACATTGGTTTGGAAGGAGGGATCACTGAGGGAATGCCAAATGAAACAAAAAAGTCTTCACCTACTGGCAGAAGGCGGCAACAGGACAGACAAATCCCCCTGGGGAGAGAGTTCCACGACTTTGGTGCCATGACCGAGAAGGCCCTCTCCCAGGGTTGCCACCTGCCTGACCTCAGAAGGTGGGGGCGCCCGAAGCAGGCCTCCAAAGATGACCATAACGGTTAGGCAGGTTCGTAATGGATAAGGCAGGTATGTTAGTCTCAAACCATATAGGGCTCTGAAGGTCAAAACCAACACCTTGGATTGTGCTTGGGAAAAAATTGGAAGCCAGTGTAGGTGGGCCAAGACTGGAGTGATATGGTCCCTACAACCTACTCCAGTCAACATCCTTGCTGCAGTGTTCTGTACCAATTGTTGTTTCTGAACACTTTTCAAGAGCAGCCCCACGTAGAGTGCATTTGCAGTAATCTAACCTTACGTACTGTTTTTAATTATGTTACATTAAACAGAGGTCTCAGTGAGGTATTTCTGAACTGAGCTGGCATAAATCAAACAGACTTGCAACCAAGATTGCAGAGACTATGAGAAGAAAGAATACTGCATGGCCAGCCATTTGATAAATAGATTTAATTTTTGTATTCTGCTTGCTGCATGTTCATTTCAAACATGTTCCAAAATAAAAACAAGAACATTCTAATAATCATTTCAGACTGTTTAAACAAGTGGTTTTATTTAAGTTCCACAGCAAAACAGAAACATTATTGCTCAGAATATTCTGTGAGGTAAAGAAATATACTTACTGGCCTCAGTTTATCTAGAAGGGGCATTCCTTTGCTCTGTACTGCATGAAACTGTAGCTGGTTGAATTCCGTGGCAATTCTCTCTAAAATCTGCCCAGTCAGAAGAGGGCTTGCAAAAGTGACACATATAAGAACAAGATTTTAATACACTGGCCAAATTAATCTCACTCCCACCATTTATTCTAAAATGGAATGTTTACATTAGAAACCCATCCCTGCTGAGACCAAAAACTAATATGCTTGCCTTCAGTCTTGAAGGTCTAAATAGTGGAAAGATGGGATATGAATCTTTAAAATAAAGCAATTTCCCACAATTCCTTACATTTTAGAGTGACCAAGAACCCAGAACAAGGATGGATCTACACTTAAATCTGATGGCTCAGACAAGTCTAGGATCATGTATCTTCACCTATGTAGCAACTGCCAACTGCAGTGTGTGCAGCCGCAATTTGTCTTGGGATAGTACAGGAACCGGAGATGAGGTTTACCCCTTCTGCTTTGTTTTGAATACCAAAACCATTCCCCTTACACTGCTATTTGCAAAGTAAAACATGTATTTTCTTTACAGACATATAACTTTTTTCTTTACAATGCTAGTAGCAGAGCTGAAGAGTCAGTTCTGAATAGCAAAACTGAGTTGAGGCCAAAGGTTTAAGCCAGGGGTGTCAAACTCATTTGTTATGAGGGCCGGATCTGACCTTGTTGGGATGGGCAATGTGTGTCATAAAATGTAATGCCAGGTAGCGGAGATATAAACTTTATAAAGGACACAAACACAAAGATTTTTTTTACTTAAAATACAAACAAGTTTAAAACATTAGCACTCTTGCAAAAAAATTTTATTTAACAGTATCTGATAACTGACACCTCTTGCTCTGAATTATTGCATCAAAATGTCTGTGCTCTCGCAATCTTCAGTATGCTCTTCAGGTGTGTATCTGTAAGCTGCAAACCTACTTTTGATTTATTGACATTCACCACAGAAATCTCATGCTCAGAGTTCTGAGTCTAGGACCCAGGTTAAAACATGAAATGGCTGAGTGATTAAGAGAATCTGGTGAAGCAAGCTATGATGCAGCAGCAGCAGCAGAACTGGAAGCAGGAGATGGCCAGTTCCACTGCGGGCCTGATAGAAGCCCTCCGGGGGCCTGATCCGGCCCCCAGGGTCGCATGTTTGACACCCCTGGTTTAACCCTTTCTCCCTTTCCTGTATAGTCCTGAGGCAAACAGATAACAGATAAACCAAGATACCATCATAGCCTCGCATCTTCTTCACGTGTAACTTTTTTCCTTAGACTAACAGCATAACATTTAGGCTGCACAGTGCCTATGAAAATCCTTGAACATCTGTTTTACTGAACTCTGGGAAACACTGGGAAATCATTGTTTCCCACCACATATACAGACTTAAAAAAGAGACATGTGCGCTCTTAAAAAAAAAAAAGACACCGTGGTTCACCAACACTGTGGTTGAACACAGAAGCAATACCCATATAGGAACAAATGTCATGACTACAGCAGACCACAAAATGGGAAAGAAAAGAAATTAAATATGGCCTGAATCTACAATTAATTTACTGAGACTACAGGTAACTATGTTACTACACAAAAACATGTGATTTAACTGTTGGTTTTTATATTCTCCTCTCAACAGGAACATAGCCATTTTTTGCTTCTTTAACCTGGGAGTTTTGGTGCACTTAAAACTTGTTCTGCACCCAACATAATTTAAGCTAACAATTTAAGCTAACAGGAGAAACATGTATACAGTTCTGAGCTCCCTACAAAAAGAGGAGGATTAAAGCATGCTACACAAATAATTTCATTAAATCTGTACTCTCTCTTGTACTCTACTTCAAGACTCTGGTCATTATGTATTAGGGTCTTTTCCATTAAGTCTGAAAACATCTTTTTCTTGCAAAACCTGCCCTCCCTTGATTAAAGATTCACCCAATGATACTTTGGTTGGTCCTACTAAAAACATATTATAGTACCGGTTGTCATTTTACTGTGAGAGAAGCAATTAACATAAAAATAATTTAAAACCAGTACCTAAACAACAAAAATTACAGAATGCATCAAATAATAACACCATACCTGCTTCCTTCTAACGACGACATTTCCTTAGAGTTTTGGGAGTGCAGAATTTTTTCAATTTTCTCAACTGATTTGATGACTTGAATAAGTCTCAATACATACATCTGTTTAAAGAAAGCAAAGCAAAACTTATGTTGAATAGATTTCCCCTCCAAAACTATTAATATGTAAGGAAGATCCTTTCCCAATTTTTAAAGACGGAAGCTGAAAAGGGAACTTACTGTATTATGTGACATGATCCCCACTGTGCTTTATCTGACCCTTGCCTCATACATGCCAGCACAGGCAGCTGAGCCATGGCAAATGCCAATACGCTTGGGATCTAGATACCGCTGACACTGTCTTGTTGCTGGCTAAGAGGTTATAGGAGTAATCTTAAACAGGTCTACTCAGAAGTAATGTTGTTCAATGTTCAATACCTCTGAGGGAGCCAGTTTGGTGTAGTGGTTAAGTGCGTGGACTCTAATCTGGGAGAACCAGGTTTGATTCCCCACTCCTCCACCTGCACCTGCTGATGTGACCTTGGGTCAGTCACAGGCTCTGGCACAGCTGTCCTTGAAAAAGAGCAGTTTGTGTCAGAGCTCTCTCAGCCCCACCCACCTCACAGGGTGTCTGTTGTGGGGAGGGGAAGGGAAAGGAGTTTGTAAGCCACTCTGAGACTCCAAGTGAAGGGCGGGGTATAAATCCAATCTCTTCTTCTTCTTCTTCTTCTTCCTCCCAGGAAAGCACCCCTTAAGACTGGAGCCTAAGTGACTGGATTCAGCTCCCAAGTATGCCTCCTGATTGTTAGCACAGAGGGCGAAGGAGGTTATTCAACATCACATTTTAATACAGCTAAAACCATACCTCTGAGGGAGAAAATTCATGTTGTGTACCAACCATTCCCCATCATGTTGGCTGAACCAAATAAAAAGTACCAATAGCAAATTAATTAGATGAAGCGTATTTGTGCTGTTCACTTGTGACACTGTGCATGTAAGAGGTAAAGAGAATGTAGTCTCTGATGCAGTCTCCAGAAACACCTAAAAGTGCAGGTTGTAAAACTGGTCTGAATAATATATGGTTTATAGGACGTTTGATATACCTCATTGCACAGGAGAGGCCTGAAACAACCTCTCTGGAAGCAATGAGAAAAAGGGTGGGACATGTGACAGACAGTAAATGGTTAATGCTGTAACCTGGGCTGAGAACCTTGAGTGACAGGGGATTAAAATGGAATTCTTCAGTTGAGAGTGTCAGTTGGAAAATGACAGTTAACAGTGGGACAGCAAAGCATACTGTGAAAGGATCAAGACAGACAGACAACCTTTATTGGCATATCGAGAGGATCAAGAAGGATCCTGAGTTAGGGAAGTGGGATGTGTAGCCATCCCTATCAAGACAGAGAAATAGCTGGAAGAAGGGAAACTTCCGGGTTGCAGTGCAGCAGAATGGTGGGCACCGGGATTCATTCCACGGTGCCACCAGCTTCGAGCCTTTTTAAAGAGAAGTATCGGGGGCTCCCAAACTCCACTGCACTCCCCGGAGGGGGGTGCAGACGCAAGGGACTCCCCGTTTGGCAGCAGCACACGGGTTGCAGCTTGGATTGTCCCCAGCAACAAGTCTACGAAGTGTGCTCACAGCAGCCATGAGCACCCAGATGTCACTTCCTGTTGGCGGGGGTTCTCACAACTCTGCCTGAAGATGTCTGAAAATCACCATGGGTACCTGTTCCAAGCAAAAATTAGGATTTACACTCCAACCTCTGAAGCCCCATCTAAACTTTAAAGAGACACAACTGAGACCAGGAGAAGGAGGACTCCCTCCCCTTCCATTTTCTTGCGGCTAGCAACAGGCTGGAGAAGCACTCTCTTTCTTTGCTCCTGTGGGCTAAAGATCTAGATACTCTCTCAATATAACTCCCTTTTGTGGATTATAATACTTGGTTTGGGGCAATTTTGGACCATAAGTTTTGTCTTCTATGTGGGTGGAACCTGGAGACTGCAATTTGAAGAGACGGTTCTACTTTCAACAGAACATATCCTTTGAACTGTAATTTTTTTCTGTGGAACTATAGATTAAAACTGATCCTTTTAAAAAGAAAAAAAAATCTCCTGTAACAGATAGAAACGAACTTTTATGGAATTTGGCACTGAGTTTTTCAACCTGGTTTTTAATCTTCCTTTAAAAATATTTTAACATTTGGATTATAATTATTGGAACCCTTTCCCCTCCTTTCCTCTTCCCTTGACTTCTTCCTGGTTTTTTTTTTAAATTTCTTCTATATGAGGAGGAGGAAGGAAACTCTGCCAAGAAGTCAGCTCTCATAACAAGACTTTCATATTGTTTTGCATTCCTGTGGTTTATATTTGGTTTATAACTGATAAAATAGAGAACTGTATGTTATTTGTAGTATTGTCCTAGTAGTGTGTTTAAATACAAGGCTGTTTTATAAATAATAAGTGTTAAGCTGGGCATAGATGGGAAAAAAATACTGTAGGGATTCTTTGGTGTTGCAATATAAACCTAGGTAAAAATGGCAGGCTCTAATAGACCTCCAGTTAAGCCAATACCCTTTACTTCACCAGGTGTTATAAAATCAGTTGCTTCTAGCCTACCACTGGCCACAATGAAAGAATTACAAACATTGATCCATGATACAGTTTGATCATTGATTAAAGACATGGTCTCAACCTCCATAAAGACTGCAATTGCAGAAGCAGTTGATCCAATCAAAGATACAATGAAGGACATGTCACAGCAACTATCCAATAAAATGGAGGGCTTGCAGAAACAATTATCAGAGACTAATCAGAAAATAGCTGATCCGAACAAAACAACTTCCAAACTGGAAGACAAGGTAGAAGAATCAGACAATAAGGTACAAGCCATTGATTCTAAACAAAATCTACTGAAACAGGATCTTATGAGACTTGAAGAAGATAAAGCAGCATTTATATTAAGATTCCAAAATATTCGGGAGGGGAAAGGAGAAGATATAAGGGAAAATATGGCACTGATTCTGGCGAAATACATGAAGACTGAAGAAAATGAGGAAGTATTGGGTGAGATTGACATTGCTTTCAGAATGAATTCAGCATATGCGAGAAGAAACCAACTTCCCAGAGAAGTCCATGAAAGATTCCACAAGAGAATTCTACAAGATGAAATCCTTAAACTATCAAATGAAACACCTTTGTATATGAAAAATACAGAAATAAAGATTTTAAAAGAAATTCTATGGAGAGAGAAAAAAGAAAATAATATATGGATTTAACAGAAATATTGAGAAAAAATGAGATTTCATATAGATGGTTACTCCCAGAATGTCTAGTCTTTACTTTTAAAGGCAAGAAATTTAGAATCAATTCAATTTTTAAAGCAGAAAATTTTCTGAAGACACATCGAGCAGACTTAAAAATGGAAGAAGAAAACTCAGAAATTACAGAAGAGGAACAGGAACAGGATCTTCAAAGCGCTTCTGGGACAACTTCATCAGTCTCAACTACAGTCAAGAAAACAACAGCAATTAAAAAAGCTCCAAGGACCACTACATTCCAAATACGTACAAGGAGACAACTGAGAGACAAACTGAATATGGAATTACAGACTCAATCTCAAAATGGATAAAAGGAAGATAAAGATAATTTCAATAAATGTGAATGGCCTAAACGCACTCCCAAAAAGAAGAAAAATATTCCAACAAAAAAAATGCAATTGGATATCATATGCCTCCAAGAGACTCACATTAAAGCTGTTGACCAAAAATATTTACAACTTAAAAAATTTGGACAAACTTTCATCTCTTCAGATAAGGAGACGAAAAAAAGAGGTTTGGCGACCCATGTAAAAGATTATCTACACCCAGAACTTACTTAGGCTTCAGAAGACAGAAGGATTTTAATGGTACAAATACAAAGACAAGGGAAAAAGACTCTGATTACAAATATATATGCACCAAATCAACACCAAGACAAATTTTATAAAACATTACAGGAAATGATTTCCAAACAGGACTTCGATGAAATCTGTATCATTGGAGACTTTAATGCTGTTTTTGATAATACGTTAGACAGGAAAACTCTGACCACAAAGAAGAAACAAGGAAACCAGCTCTCCTCAACATTTTTTCAACTAGCAGAAGAAAACAACTGTGTGGATGCCTGGAAAGTTAGAAACCCACTAAGAAAAGATTATACCTTCTATTCAACAAGACATAAGTCCTGGTCAAGAATAGATATGTGCTGGGTCTCTACTACAATGGCGAATGATATATTAGAATCGAAAATTTTACCTTCAACGTTTGCTGACCATAACACAATCTCACTTGAACTACAAGATACTCCTAAAAGAAAAGAAGGTCCCTGGACACTTCTATCCTAAACCAAAGAGAAACCAAAAAAGAATTCCAAATGTTTTTCCAACAGAATATTCAACCAGAAACTTCTATCAAGATTGTATGGGACGCATTCAAAACTTATGCCAGAGGCTGGATGATTGAAGAAACAGCTCAAGTGAAAAACAGAGATTAGAAAAATATTTACAGATTCAAGATCAGATGAAAAAACTGAAAGAAAAGATGAAGCAAGACCCTTCAATGAACAGACAAAAACTAAACTTAACCTGTTACCACACCAAATAAACTGCCTATTAACACAGCAAAAAAAATGTATGCTAAACAAAATTTTGAAAATGCCAATAAATTGACTAGATGGTTAGCTTATAAACTACGCAAAGAAAAAGAAAAAAGGTACATTAATATACTTAAAACTGATAGGGGAGAAAAAATAAATAAATGGGCAGACTTGAAAAAAATTGTGGAAACATATTATGAAAAGTTATACATGGAATGTTGAAGCAACACAAGATCAAATTAAAAAATACTTTGAGTCTCATAAGTCTAAAATATTTACAGAAGAACAAAGGAAAATACTAAATGATCCAGTATCTTTTGCTGAAGTAACAGAAGCACCGAAAAAGCAAAAAAAGGCAAAAACTCCAGGTCCAGATGGATTCCCAGTGGAATTTTACCACATATTTGAAGATCAATTGATAGGAACATTAAAAGTGGTTATACAAAATTTAATGATTGAAGGAAAAACTCCAGATTCCTGGAATGAAGCACTGATCACTCTTATTCACAAGCAAAAATCAGACTATAAAATTTACACTTCTATTTTAGCTGCAAGGATGAAAAGAGTTCTTTCTCAAATGATCCATAAAGATCAAGGAAATTTCCTCCCCAAGAGACAACTCAGAAATAATGTGAGAACAATTTTAAATGTTTTGGAATATTATGAAGCACACCCAGAAAAGCAAATGGCCTTTGTTAAAGTTAAAAGGAGAAGAATACAAGTTGCAAGCATTTGCAGATGACTTAGTATTTATCTTATAAAATCCACTGAATTCCATAAAATTATTGATAAATTCTTTGCAAGATTACAGAGAGGTGGCAGCTGGTTGTATCCTTATGGCATTTAAAGTTGCAGAAGCCCTTGTTGCATATTCATCTAAGTAATCAAAGTTGTCATCTCACAGTTTTCTGATTTTTCTTGGCTAACACAATTTATTTTGCAAGCCAAGTGACCAAGAATTAAGCTTAAAGCTTTATAAGATGTCAAAGAGAGAGGCAGTTTTGCATTATCGGACTGGTTACTTTATTATAGAGCTACGGCTCTCCACTCGAGACTTCCCTCCACGTAGGCGCAGAGCCATTTATGAGCACTCGTTGGGTACGATTTTTCAACCAACCATGAATCCATCCAACGGTTGCACCATCCAGCCCACACTTAACCAGTTTATCCTCAAGGATAAAACTGTTTCTTCCTGTGTTAGGTTAGGGTTTGTAAAAGCTTCTAATGGGGCAGCCCATTTGGGAATCTTAGCATAAAAATTGTTTTTAGACTCTTCCCATACCTTTAATAAAGAGGTTCTGATACGGTGTTGTTTAAAATATTTGTGTGTCTCTGCTTTCCCGTACCATATAAAAGCATGCCAACCTAACAAAAGGTCTCGACCTTCTAATTTCAAAAGTCTTACATTTTCTAAAGTAATCCAACCTTTTATCCATGACAGAGCCGTCTATAATGCAGAAATGCAAGAAAGCAAAGTGGCTGTCTGATGAGGCTTTACAAATAGTAAAGTTAGATTGAAACTCAACATCAAAAAAACTAAGATCATGGCATCTGGCCCCATCACTCCTTGGCAAATAGAAGAGAAAATCATGGAAGCAGTGACAAAATTCATGTTCCTGGGATCCAAGATCACTGCAGACAGTGACTGCAGCCATGAAATTAAAAGACACCTGCTCCTTGGGAGGAAAGCGATGGCAAACCTAGACAGCATAATAAAAAGTAGAGACATCACCCTGCCAACAAAGGTCCATATGGTCAAAGCAATGGTATTCCCAGTAGTAATGTATGGCTGCAAGAGTTGGACTATAAGGAAGGCCGAGCACCGAAGAATCAATGCTTTTGGATTATGGTGCTGGAGAAGACTCTTGAGAGTCCCCTGGACTGCAAGGAGATCAAATCAGTCAATCCTAAAGGAAATCAACCCTCACTGTTTTCTGGAAGGCCAGATACTGAAGCTGAAGCTCAAATACTTTGGCCACCAAATGAGAAGGGAGCACTCGCTGGACATGACCCTGATGCTGGGGAAGATTGAAGGTCAAAGAAGAAGGGGATGGCAAAGGATGAGATGGTCAGACAGTGTTACCGATGCAACGAACATAAAATTGAGCAAAATTGAGCAAACGCCAGTGGACAGCGGAAGACAGGAGGGTTCATTGGGTCACAAAGAGTCAGACTTGACTGTGCGACTGAACAACAACAACAAATTTAAATGCACATTTTACAACATCAGTAGAAACAAATTAAGATGCAAACAGCAGTGGTGTGAGACAAATCTGATTCTTCATTTTGCTCTTCTTGAATATCTTGTAGTGCCCCAAAACAATTGATCAGGTTTTTGATCACACAATATAGCTTTTAATTAATTTTGGTCCATTGGTGTGAAAATACAAATAAAAAATAATTGCTATACCTTTTTTCTTCTGATATCTTCTTGCTTAGACACACGCTCATCAATTGCTTTGATTCCTTCACTGACACATGATTTAAGACTCTAAAACATAGTAAACAGAAAAACAATTGTGGCTGTTTGAAACAGATCAACTGATGCCTAAGGGATTGCAGAAACAATTATTAGCAAGAAACAACACCCCCCTCAAAAATCAGAGCACTTCTCTTAACTTGAATGCAACCATTTCAATGATGCAAGCAAGTTGTGTTAATGTATGTGTATTTCAGTCCTTGAAAATCTGAACCAAATTGAATCTCTGGTGACCGAAGTGTTCTATATGTGCTCAGAATAAAGAAAAAGAAGAAAAGAAGGAGGAGGAGGAGGAGATTGGATTTATACCCCGCCTTTCTCTCAGAGTGGCTTACAATTTCCTTTCCCTTCCCCTCCCCACAACAGACACCCTGTGATGTAGGTCGGGCTGAGAGAGCTCTCTCTAGAACTGCTCTTGAGATAACAGCTCTTAGAGAACTTGTGACTGACCCAAGGCCACACCAGCAGCTGCATGTAGAGGAGTGGGGAACCAAACCCAATTCTCCCAGATTAGAATCCGCCCTCCTAACCACTACACCAAACTACAAAAACTACAAAATTACAAAAACATCCGTGGGTTGACCCAACTGAATATGAGAGCAAAACTCTTCAATCCAAATACATAGTAAACAGCAAACAGCTCAAGCAATATAGAGTTCACAATACATAAATCCATGCAAAACGTCCAAAAAGATACACAAAAGGAAATCTGGACTCAGCAGTGAGAATGTAGAGTAGAAGTAAAGAGATTTCCGGATTTCTTATTTTCCTCTTTTCTGAATATTCTTCTTCAGATCAAAGGAATAATCCAACCCCGTTTGGGGTTTACAATAAGACTCAAAACAGTAGTCAAAATATAGGGACATTTTCCTGGGATGCAGGGTTTACAAATATTTCCTACTTTAAATTGTAAATTCTGCGTCCCCAGAAAATGTCCTTATATTTTGACTACTGCTGTGAGTTCTATTGTAAACCCCGAATGGGGATGGATTATTCCTTTGATCTGAAGACGAATATTCAGAAAAGAGGAAAATAAGAAATCCGGGAACTTCTCTACCTACTTCTACTCTACATTCTCATTACTGAGTCTGGTCTTCCTTTTGTGGACCTTTCTGGACCTTTTGCATGAATTTACATATTATATTATGGACTCTATATTGTTTGAGCTGTTTGTCATTTACAGTTTATATATTTGGATTGAAGAGTTTTGCTCTCATGTTCAATTGTCTCATCCCACAGATGTTTTCTTCTTTTTCTTTATTCTAAATCTGGTTTCCTGTGGGACTCTATATATGCTCACACAGGAGTCCCTCCCCATTCAAATGTGCAGGTTGTGTATTATTGACTGAAACCATATAATTTTTTGTGGCAAATGCAATTTATGTTGCAGCCAAAATGCAAATGCAGCCAAAAGTGGGCAGGATTATGTTTTAGAAGAAGGATGGAGACGGAAGGAGATGGCAGAATAAGCTGCAGAGCCAGATGGAGAGAGAATTTCCAAAAAGGCATGGTCAGTCATAATCTGAACAAGTTGCACTATCCCCATGGTAGGAGGGGCCATTCCAATGTTATCTTAGTAGCAAAGAGGCCAGTGTAATGCACATCCTTCCTATATCACTGCTGTAACACTGGATACACAAGGACATATGAGAGAAGCTGGCACTGTAGCTACTTCCCACATCACCAAATGCTCTCCCAGGAGCTTGAGTAGAACAGCACACAAACTCCTGCACTGAATTAGAACAGAAGCCTCTAATGGGCGGTGCTCATCTCCGTTTCCAAGCCGAAGAGCCAGTGCTGTCTGAAGATGTTTCCATGGTCATGTGGCCGGCATGACTAAATGCCAAGTCGCATGGAATGCTGTTACCTTCCCCCCGAAGCGGTACCTATTTATCTACTTGCAATTTCTTGCTTTTGAACTGCTAGGTAAAAAACTGATCTTATACTCCGTACCACTTACATTTCATTCCACTTTTATTATTTTAGGTCACGGAGTCATCCAATAAATCTTGCATGCTTTGCTGGTTCTTAACAATTCTTTGTATGGTAGTGTCAACTATGTATTTAATCAATATAATCCTACTTTCCTTTCCAACACATAATAGTCTTGGGTTTATTTTAAAAATTCATTCTCCTGTAATTTTGGCCTTATTAACTTTCAAATCACAAGAGTTAGTGGCTTGCACATGGGGGGGGAGAGAACAGGAAAATAGTATTTCACTTTCTTTTAAGCCTAGTTACAAACATGATCAGCAACAGGAGACCTATTTCTAGCATTACAGGTGTCTGTCCACACTGGCTTCCTTCATAGAAGGAACATATAAGACAGAAGCCAAGACATCATGCACTAGCCACTATACCACCTGATAAGGTAATATCAGCTACAAAAACTGATACAGCCACCAACCATCACACCAACAGACTTCTGCCTTCTCCAGACACTCTAATTTTTAAAATTTCAGTTCATTCCATGGGTAATACCCACAGCAAACATGCTAACAACTGAAAATACAATAAATAAAGCCAATCAACATCTACTGTGACATAAATATGCATACAAATCTCATATTCAAAGATTGTTCAGTGGCCAAAACACTGCAACATGCAGGTCAAAATAATTCTGTCCACCTTGGGGACCTTGATTGGGTAGGAAGGTGGCATAAAAATGTTATAAATAAAATAAATTTTGTCATTGCTTTTCAGATTTCAATGCAAAGAGGAAAAACAAACATACAGGAGAGCTGTCTCTACAGCTGCGTTATTTCAGCAATACAATTAATATAAGAAGAGTCCTGCTGGATCAGACCCAGTGGTCCATCTAGTCCAGCATCCCATTTCACATAGCAGCCAACCAGTCATACCCAAGGGCCAAAAACAAATGTGCTTTAAAATATTGGTTACAAAAACCTGATGCCCTGTGCTCTTCCTCTTTTCCTTTAGGGAAAACAAACCCCTAAATTCTCTGTTCTATGGTTCCCAAAGCACATATTTAAATTATCAAAATAAATAATATGGAGCCCACAGGGGGGGGGGCATGCGATTTGGAAACCCACTTCAAAGTCTCCCTCTCCAAGATTCTGAAGGGTTTGATCAGTCTTATACCCCTGCCCCTTTTTTACTTGTGACTGGTTGGCTCAGGATGAGTCGGTTGAAGCTAAACCTGGCAAAGACAGAGGTCCTGGGCTTAAGTCGGGTTGGTGCAGGGCTGGGGCTCCCTCTCCCAGCCTTCGACGGGGTGCCTTTGGTGCCGGCACCGAGGGTTAGGAGTTTGGGGGTGCTCCTGGACTCCTCTTTAACGATGGAGGACCAGGTGGTAGCCACTGTCAAGTCAGCCTTTTACCATCTGCGGCTGGCATGGCAGTTGGCTCCCTACCTTGACTGCGATGATTTGGCCACATTGATCCACGCGACAGTCACCTCGAGGTTGGACTACTACAAAGCTCTCTATATGGGGCTGCCTTTGTCGCAGATCCAGAAGCTGCAGCTGGTGCAGAATGCAGCAGCCAGGTTGCTGATGGGTCTCTCTAGGCGAGACCACGTCCAGTCTGTTCTGAAGGCACTGCACTGGCTGCCAATAGCGTACCGGGTCCGCTTCAAAGTGCTGGTTCTTACCTATAAAGCCCTATATGGCAAGGGTCCAGCTTACCTAAGGGACCACCTTTCCCCATATGTTCCCCCAAGGGCACTATGGTCAGGGGCAAAACATCTTTTGGCTGTCCCAGCCCCTAGAGATGTCAAATATGGTGCGACTAGGGCCAGGGCTTTTTCGGTGGTGGCTCCTATCTGGTGGAATGAGCTCCCGGAGGAGATCAGGGCCCTGCGGGACCCTATGCAGTTCTGCAGGGCCTGCAAGACAGAGCTCTTCCGCCAGGCTTTCGAGTAGGAGCCGCCACCATCACTGTACCACCACCGTGCTGCCATGTCTGGCAATGCGAACTGGCCTTGGGAGTGGAGAACGGACATAGTGCAGACCGATCAAGAAGAGAGAGTAGAACCTCTGAAGCATTGCATTGGAGTTCCCGTCTTAGATGATATATTGTTGTGAGCACCGATTTTAAATGTAAAATGTAAATGTAATTGATTGTTTTATCTGGTTTTAGTGTTATGTATGGCAATTGCCTCTTGTAAGCCGCCCTGAGCCCATGTGGAAGGGTGGGATAGAAGTCAAATAAATAAATAAACAAACTTCTATGGACAACTCATCCTAAAAGGGAAAAGACACGCTTAAGAAAAAGAACTTCTCTTTTTTTAAGGAAGAGTTGGACATAAAATGTGTGTAAGCAACAGATCAGCCAGAGCCTGCTAACGAGGGGGAGGGGCCCACAAGAGCAGGGGAAGCATTTAAGAGAGGCGAGAAAAGCTGGGGGGCGGATTGCTAAGCAGCCAGGAGAGGTGTGGCCCATGCCCAGCCGACAGGAGTGTCAGAGCTCCAGAAGAGCCTCCCTGCAAGCTTCCCAGGACTCAGGTTGGACTTGAGGGGGGAAGGGCCCACCCGAGGCTGCAGGCGTCACTCTGGGGAATCAGAGATCAGACTGGGCGCTGTAAAGGGGTTGGGGGAGGGAGCACTGGGGATGAGAAATAAACAAGAGACACGTGGCTTGTGATGACCCTCGTAGCTGGATGCTGTACAGACTTCCTGCAGCTCCTCTAGTGCTGAAGCCATTAATCTTGTACATGTGTTATTCTTTTTAATTCAAGCAATTAAGGTTTTTGTGACCATTTTTATTTTTATTAATTGATACCTTGTATTTATTGTTTACTAATATTTTAACACACAACAAACCTTTATTGGCATAACAACAGCAGTAGCCTTAGGTACAGATGCGGTAGGCACACAAAACAGTTAATGCACTACCCCTTCTGCCGAAAAAGAACTTCTCCTCCTATACGCTCTGTAAAGGAAGTTTGCCACCTCTTCAATGGTATCAGCCCTGTTTGAGGCTAGAAGGTTCATTATCTTACTTTCCTCAGATTTGCCCTCCAGGGTTTGTAGTATAGGGCCGAGGTGATAAGTACGCAAATCTTGGTAAAATCTACAAGTCAGAAGTACATGGTCCGTTCCTTCAATCTCCTTTCACCCACAGGGACATAACTTATCCGGGAATGGTATTTTTTTAAATCTCCCATATAACACAGCTGAGGGGAGCACATTAAAACGGGCCAGCGTGACTACCCTTCTAATATAGGGATCAATCAGACAGGAAAAATACTCTGGCAGTGGCCCATTAAGAGAAATCCCCCAATGAATGGGAGAACAATGCCCAGTAGCAAGGCTTTTCTTGCATTTCTATATCGATCAATCTCTGTTTAATCATGCCAAAGCGTACTTCTCCAAAAGAAGGATCAAACCATCTATGCTGAGCCCCATCAGTGTAATTTTCCCTTCAACACATGTCAACCAATCTGATAGATGAGATTCGCATAGCGTATAAGCGATAAGACTATTAGGCTCACTTCTATGAAGGAGGCGCAGCCAAAATTGAAAGGTTAGACTGTTTTTGAGTTGTTAAATGATCATAAATGCTTGTCAGACTGGCAAAAGTTAGTTTTTAAAATTATTTTTATTATTAAAATATTAATAATTTATTAAAATATTAATAAATATCATATTTAATAATATGATAATGATTTTTTAGGTTTTGTCCCCACCCCCCACGGTCTGCCTCTAGAAGAACAATTTGAAATGCATACAGCACCAGATTTTCAAAATAAATATTCTGTGGCATTCTTCTTTACAGTGACTGTGCAAAGGAGCTACAACTTTGGTGATCTCAATGGCCCAAAGAAATTCTAACTTTTGCCAGTCTGACAAACATTTATGATCATTTAACAACTGAAGTAAGAATTTGTCCTGCAGTCTCAAAAACAATCTAACATGTACTACAGGAAGTATCTTCACAATACATAGAATGATGTAAACAGGAAAGTGTATTTTTGAACTGCCAATTATCTCAAAGGGCATTTATTAGATTCTCAGCAATGCTAAAATTATCTTCAAAGCAAACTTAAGCAGATAGTATGTAGCTTTCTAGATGATAAAATTTTATTGCCCCGTATCAGGATCCTGCTTATTATTTGCTATTAAAGAAAAATCTTTTGGGGCAATGTCCCTAAGGCACTATATACATTTCACCCTGGCATCTGGCAGCTTCTCTCTACTGCAACAGCTCCTTACAGAAATCAAGTGATTGAATGAAATTATCATTTTTGTAAAAACAGGTACTTGTTCTTCCAGAAGAAAAATGAGATTGTTCAACTACACATAACCATGGAAGCCTGTTACCCCAACTTTTTGACATTTGACTTAGTCTAAGCAAGAGGAGTAAAAGGAATTATTTATTTATTTATTTATGTATTTATTTATTCAATTTATATACCACCCTTAAAATTCTCATTTCTAATGGCAGCAATCCAATTTCTCTTCTCACCGTAACAGAATATCTAAATTATCCTACAAAACTTAGCCTTGGGGGGAAATTAAATTCTGTTGCTCCAGAGACGCCCCATGTTGCAGCACTATAGAATCTGTGCATACCACTTGCTTTCTTAACAGTTTCAAAAACTGGACTGACTTCTCAACAAAACCTTTAAGTACACAACAAACATTTTACAGGGCTTTAGCAGGACTTCAGAACATACCATTACTTCTTCTCGCAGCTGTCCCAAAGGCACTGAAAGCTGGTTAAGGGCTTTATCCATGCCAACCTAAAATAAGAACATGCTATAATTACTGAATAGCTGAAACAAATCATATTAGTATGCTTGCAAGCTATTTTCTTAAAGGCTCACAGCTGTTCCTAAACGCCTCAAAAGGTGTTCCCAAGCTTGCAAAACTTCGGAGGGTTACCTGCAATCCTGTCTGAAATTATGTTTAAATAAGCAATAAAAATCAAGGGTACAAAAACTACGGACATGAAAGAAATCTGTGTGTTCAACAGCTACACTCTTAATTCAACTATAAAAACATGTACAATGATAAACAATTTTACATAGTTAAAACTTTCATCTTCCATAACCAGACTTCAAATTATTTTTATAAAGAAAAAAAATCAACAAGTTGAAGTTCAACCACAATTACATCTGAAGAGTGTATCTTTTCAGAGTGTAAGTAAGAATAGTTGCTAGTAGCCTGTGTATTAGGCAGAGACCTTTTTTGCCAGTCACCTGTGGACCATACTGAAGGCTGCTTACCTACCCAAACATCCCCCTGCCCATCAAGTCCTTGTTGTAAGGTTTCTGGGTTCCCCTTGCTCAAAAGCCAGTCAAATCCAACTCTAGAGGAAGGTGCTCATCTCCGTTTCCAAACCGAGGCGCCAGCGCTGTTCAAAGACGTCTCCGTGGTCATCTGGCTGGTATGACTACATGCTGAGGCGCATGGAACGCTGTTACCTTCCCACCGAAGCAGTACCTATTTATCTACTTGCAATTTCTTGCTTTCGAACTGCTAGGTGTTGTTTTTTTTAAGTACCCGAAGGTACATTTTTATTTTTTATTATATACTACAGACATATATACAAACAACACATAACTTACTCCTAACAACATATAACATATAACAGGAGACTTTTATCACTCCTTCTGCTTATTAAATTTCTAAATTCATTATCTATTTTACTAAGCTTATCTTTTCTGCGTTCTCAAATTACTACATTTATCCATCAGTTGCTAGGTTGATAGGAACTGGGGCCAGAGACGGGAGCTCACTCCATCATGCGACACTCGGGTCTCGAACTGCCAAACTACTGACCTTCCAAGTCTGCAGTTCAGCGTCTTAACCACTTGAGCCACCGCAGCCCCCTGTAAGGCTTCTAGTTCTTACTTAAAGTATCAAAAGCTACCCTTACAGATAGTTTGTTCAATATCATAGTCTCATAGCCTATAACCACACATAAAATCTAATTGGAAAACTTACCAGATTGGTGGAAAGATTAACAAAGTCTGCATAATCCTTATTTATGAGCTCCACCATGGCAGTTTTAAGAAGTTTGTAGTAGAGCTCAAGATCATCCCGGAGCTCTTCTAATTGAACACGTTTTCTGCATTCAGACACAAAGTGATCGACATCAAAGTCTGGCTGCATATGAAAAAGGAAAGAAAAGCACAGGGGTTTATGAGTCATTACATCACAGAAGCTTGAGATTCCCTGTGGAAAGCATACTCTGGTTTAATGGCTTTCCACTGTACCTAAAGTAGAGATCTAAAATTTCTGGACATTTTGAAGCTCGGGGAAAAATATCCAGGGTTTTTTTGGAAAAATTGAAAAATATGCTACATTAGCACTTCTTTTTTCTTTTCCAGATTGAAAGTCATTCTGTTAACTTTAGGAACATAAAATATGACTATGGACAATTTTGGCATGGAATTATCACAACTAGCATATTAAAAATATAGTGTATCCAAACAATGATTACTAACAGAATTTACTTTTAAAATAATATTTATTTGTAATTGTAACAAATGGAGCAACAATCTCCTGAACTGTTTACTAGTTTATGTGGAACAGACAAAAAAACCTCCACAAAACAATTTTTAAAAATCCAGAAGTAACAATTATTCATATTTCCTCTCCACAGTATTAAATTTAAAAAACACCCATTCTCATAAAAATAATTGAAGAGGGGGGGGGGAGTGTATGAAAGGGAGTGTGGGACTAAATTTCAATGAATGGGCATAAAATTTAATCAGAATAATTTTCTGAGCTGTAATTTGGAAAATATTTGAACACCTTGTCTTAAAATATTTTATTCATCATGTTAAAATAAAACGTTCCATAATCATTTTTTTCCTTTTCTTTTTTCAATTTTTCCAATTTTTTGAAAAAAAAAACACCAACAACCCAAAAAAGCCTTCAGGAAAAAAAGGGGGGGGGAGAATGGGGGAAAAAACGGGTTTTCCCCGAATTTTTCCAGTTTTTTTCCAGGACTTCACATTTCTAAATAATATAATTTGTTCCATTATTTATTATTTGTCATATATTTATCTAGCCAGTGTGGTGTAGGGGTTAAGAGCAGTGGAATATAATCCGGAGAACCAGGTTTGATTCCCCACTCCTCCACATGAAGCCTGCTGGGTGACCTTGGGTCAGTCACAGTTCTATCAGAACTCTCTAAGTCCAACCTAACTCACAAGGTTATGTGGAGAGGAAAGGAAGGAGATTGTAAGTCACTTTGAGACTCCTTAAGGTAGAGAAAAGCGGGATATAAAAAACAACTCTTCTACCTATTTGACAGCTCTATTGATCATATCCTTTATGGTATGTCAATTCGAATGATTGCTTACGGTTGCAGGAATTAAGCTTTTAGTATCAACTGGCCATATACCCTGTTTCCCCGAAAATAAGACCTACCCAAAAAATAAGCCCTAGCAGGATTTCTATGCATTTGTGGTATAAGTCCTAGTGTGTCTTCTTGAGAAAAAATAAATATAAGACAGTGTCTTATTTTCGTGGAAACACGGTAGTTCTGATTGCAAACCATCAAAAAGAACACAGACTACCTAGCTATTACTGAGTGCCTCATTCAGAATAATAGCTTCTATAACATCTTTTGATATTTCATTATAACCCATGGGATATGGAACCTCCAGAGCAAAGTGGGTGGCAGGGGTGGTGTAAAGGATTCTAAAAACAAAATCCCATCACATCATTTGGCATGATCAACACTTATGCAACCAGCCAGGAATCTGATAAGTTGTGTTGTGCAGACCAGCCCTCAGATACATGTGCTAAGGTAGCACAGGGAGCAGCAGTTTGCAGTTCCCTCTTTCAAGTATTAGATATATGCACACTTTTGCTTGTAGAAAAGCTATGGCATTTATGCTTCTAAATCCACAAATATGGAGAATAGTATGATTTTTACATGCTAAGGTATACGGTACACATTTTATATCGTTAAAGCAGTAAAAGAAATTCAGGCTTGATAGGGAAAAAAAATAGTGCACATATTTCAATTTTGCCCAAATTTCTCATTCCTTCCCCCCCCAGTTTCAAAATTTCCAAAAATTTACATCTCTAGATAAGACATGCAAGGGAGGGCAGTGAAGGGAAAGGGGGAGGGTTTGATTTATTGCCAAAATGTTTCTGCTAGTAATCCTTAATAAACACACACAAACAACTATATATCATGGAAAATATAGCTCTCTAGGAAGAGAGATGGGGGGGGAGTTAAAACCCTTCACAGAATAAAAATCAAACTCAACGGAAATAAAAAATGTGTGACACTGCAGTGCAACATCTCAGTGGCAACCTGGATTGGAGGGGGGCTTGGATCAAAAAGTGTGCCACAAGTGCTGTCCACTGCAAGCCCTCCCCCCAATCAGCTGGTGGAGGAACCCTGGAGAAGAAAGTGCATCTGGCACATTTTCTGCACGGAGCCCCAGACCCCAATCAGCCAAGTGGTAGCAAGCTTTGAGAGGAAAGTGCAATCCGCATGTTTTTCAGCACTGGCCAGGAGATGGGTGTGTGCGTGCTGGGCTTTGGAGAGAAAGATGTATTCTCTTTGAAGCTCAAGTAAATGGATTTGGGCCTAGAGAAGTGGCCTGCTATGTTATAATTGCATTTAAATAGACTTTTCTTTAATGACTTTCTTTTATTTATACCCAACTCTTTTCCCCAATGAGGACCCAAACCAGCTTAGAACATTCTCTCCTTCTCCATTTTATCCTCACAATAACCCTGTGAGGTAGATTCAGGTGGGGTAGCCATGCTGGTCTGAAGCAGCAGAACAAAGTTTGCGTCCAGAGGCACTTCAAGATGCCCCTGGACTCAAACTTTGTCCTGTGAGGTAGGTTAGGTTGGAGAGTGTTTCATTAATCCAAGGTTGCCCAGCAAGCAGAAGAAGAGGCAGAAGAAGAAGAGATTGGATTTATGGGGTACCCAAAGGAGTCTCAGAGTGGCTCACCATCCTTACCCCTTCCCCTTCCCACAACCTGTGAGGTAGGTGGGGCTGAGAGAGCTCTTTTGAGAACTGCCCTTGAGAGAACAACTCTAAAAGAACTTATGACTGGCCCAAGGTCACATCAGCAGGTGCATGTGGAGGAGCGGGGAATCAAACCCAGTTCTCTCAGATTAGAGTCCACGCTCTTAACCACTACACCAAATTGGCTCTCCAGTAGATTCAAATCTGGGTCTCCAAGATCCTATGCTCATATTCTAATTACTATACCAAACTGTTACTTTACTTCCTTCTTTTTAATTTTTTTTTAAACTGTAGGATGATGCTGGTTTTCAGAATACAACCAAAGAAAAGTGAACAGCTCACATTGCCTAATACCAAAAGCCTTTCCTAACCTGATTAAGAGGGGGAATGGAGGAGACCGGGGGTGGTGGTGGAGGAGGGTGGTAGAGGAGACCGGGGAGGGAATCAGCGGGGATGGGGGGAAGCTTACCTGCTGCTGCTTCCTCCTCCTCCTGCTCTGCCTGGAGCTCTTCCCCCCCCCCACGAGTATCGCGGGTCCCCTTTCTTGTCCTTATTCTATTAGCCAAAGTTTTTTTTCTGTGCGGATACTTATTTCCACCAACAGGGGGCTCACTCTCCCCCAACAGCTTTTCCTACATAGTCAGTAGACTTCCCGGGTTTGTAGAAAAATCCAAAAACTAAAAAAATCCCTTCAGGGACGGCTGAATTCCCCCCAAAACCTTTTGAAATGGCCTATGCAGGGATCTGCTTCAGGCATCAACGGTGAGAGATTAGAATGTTCGGGGAGGGGGGGCTTCTAACTGGCTCTGTCAGTAAAAGGGTGGGGGAAAGGGCCCTTTCCAGGCCTCTTTTGGCCTTTCAGGGAGGGAGGGAGGGAGCCTTGGGGCCAGGCCTCACAAGAGTTGCCAGTGCCAGGCTGGGGGATTTCTAGAGATTTTTGTGGTGGACTCTAAGGAGGGCTGGGTTTGGGAAGGGAGAGGTCTCAGCTGGGTATAATGCCACAGAGTCCACCCTCCAAAGCAGCCATTTTCTGCAGGGAGACAGACCTCTGCTGTCTAGAGTCCAGTTGTAATTCTGGGGGGTCTCCAGGTCCCATTTGGAGGTTGGCAACTCTAGGCCTGCCAGTAGTCTAGGGTTGCCAGGTCCCCCCGATTTGCATGACTCACCTAGCCTCGGCTGCTTGCTACCGTTCATTAGCAGCTACCCTATGAAAGCCAGTGAGGTGTAGCAGTTAGAGCTTCAAAGTAGGGTCTGCAAGACCCAGGTTCAGATCCCCATCTTGCAGTGGAAGCTGACTGTGTGATTTTGGACCAATCACATATTCTAGCCTAACCAACCTCACAGGGTTGTTGTGCAGATAAAAAAGAGGAGGGAATAATGAAATCTGCTTTGGTCCCCACTGTGGAGAAAGACTGTAATTTTCCTAGGTAGAGGTTGGGGGGTGGAGATGAAAAGCAGAAGACAGAGAGGCAGATAAAGGTAGGTTGGCTGTTGGGTGGGAAGGAAATTGTGTTGCCAACTCCAGGTTTGGAAATTCCTGGACATTTGAGGGGTGGAGCCTGGGGAGGGTGGGATTTGAGGGGAGGAACTTTGGACTGGTGTAATGTCATAGACTCCACCCTACAGCCATTTCCTCCACGAGAACCACCATTGCCAGCCTCTAGGTGAGGACTGGAGATCACCCAGAATTATAACTGTTGTCCAGGTGACAGAGATCAGTTCCCCGGGATAAAATGGCTGTTTTGGAGGGTTGAGTCTATGGCATCATACCCTGCTGAGGATGCTTGCCACCCCAAGCCTCACTGTCCCAAGCCTCCACCCCCAAATCTCCAGGAATTTCCCAACCTGGAGCTGGCAGCCCTAAGATGAATTGATCTCTGTAGCTGGGAGATCCACTGTGATTCCTAGACCGCTGCCACTGCTGTTGTAGCTGGAGAGGAAGCAGGTGAGTGGCTAGGAGCACTGCCACCGCTGCTGCTGCTCTGTGGAGAGGGGGAGGAAGCAGGCAGGAGGCTGGGAGAGTGATGGGGGCAGAAAGAAAGAATTATGAGGTGGGGGCAGAAAGAGAGAGAAAGAGTGATGAAGTGGGGAGGCAGAAAAACAAAGAGAAAGATGACAGGTCAGAAAGAGAGAGGAAGTCACATGCATGGAGGCAGGGCCAGATCCAGGTTTTTTAGCACACTAGGTGAGGCTACCTTCTGGCACCCCCCTCCCCCATGTGCCCACCAATTTTCAAACATAAATGTCTTTGCTCTTGATCTGGTTCAACAGTAACAATTAGCACAGTAATACAACCATTAAACATTTAAAAAACCAGTGAATCAATAACAGGGCCATTAACAAGGCTATGGGGGGGGGGGAGAAAATGCGCAGATCTGCTCTCACAGAGAAGGCAGAGCTGGTACCTGAATAAAACTTGGTCTTAAAGGTGTCATTGGACTATTTTGGAATACTAGCTATGGGGGGGGGAGAAAATGTGCAGATCTCCCCCGCCCCTATGGAAAGGAGTCCCAGCCAGGAGACGAACGACCTGGCGAGGGCCTCCTCCTCCTCGCTTACAGAAGCTCCCGGTCAATGCACTGCTCCGGGGGCATAGGAGGGGCAGGTCCAGACTCTGGGGTTCCCGGCTAGGGCCTGCTGCTGCGAGACTACCTTTGGTGGTGGCGACAGCGGCGGTCACCCGGTCAGGGAGATGCAGGGCTTTTGGCGAGGGGGGCGGGTACAGTTTGGCGCCCCTAAGAGCCGAGGCGCTCTAGGCGAATGCCTAGTTCGCCTAGTGAGTGAGCTGGCCCTGCATGGAGGAGAAATAGAGAGTAAGAAAAGGGGGGCAGAGGGGAGAAATAGTGTGAGAGAGGTAGGGGGTGAGGAGATGAAGCAAAGGTGTGACGAATGAGATAACCATCCCGCAAGTTTCTTGCAGGTCTCCACTTGTTTCATCTATGATCAAAAATCACAATTCATAGAGTACCTTGTAGATTGATTGAAATCTACAAGCAGAGGTCATTTCGGGGGGGATCGCGGGGGATCGCAGTTCCCCCGGGTGAGGTACGGCAGCTGGGCACATGACGAAGCCCCGCCCCCTGCTTCCGGCCGCCCCGCTTCCGGCCCTCATTCAGCCAGGAGGAGGCAGGAGAAGAGGGAGGGTAAGTTGCTTCCTCCCTGCCTCTCCCCACCCCTGCCTGCCTGGGGCCAGGGACGGCCTTCGCGGGGCTTCCTTGCACTCCCACCGGCCTTGCAGGTCCACCGCCGGGCCCCTCATGGCCGGGACCGTTGGGGGCGGGGTGTGTGGCCTTATGACACACTTCCGGTGATGTCAGGGGGTGTGGCATATGCTAATGAGTTATGCTAATGAGTTCCCCTAGCTCTTTTTCTACGAAACGACCCCTGTCTACAAGGATATCAGTTCCACATATTATATCTTTATTCAATATTCTTAAATGTTGATTGATGCACAAGATTCACTACATGTATGTTTATCAAATGTACATGCAACAACTCACACATTTAACCTCCTCCCATGGTGGGGTTACATTTACAAGATGAAACTGCAAACTAGAGAGCTTTTGGTAATGTGCAAAAAGCCAAACAGTGACTACTACTGTAGGTTAGCAGCTGATAAGGAAGTCTGTGAGCCTATCAACATCAAATATCAAAGGCTGACATGACAGGGTCTTAAGATCCAGAGCTGGAAAACCTGCTTGTTGCCTTCTTTATTTTCTAATTTTTGTAACAACTGCCTGATGAA